TTTCAATTGCTTGAAGACTCTTTTGTTGCATGCAAATACCAAAAACAGTATAAATCCCTGGGCACCAACAAATACAGTAAATAAATAAACAAAAGCTTCGTAGCCCGTAGCCTCGTAAAGGAAAGCAAAAATCCACGTAAGTCCAGTGATAACTGATAGTTTCAGGCAAGCGAACATACTGATCTGGTTTTCTTGGTTCGACTGGAGTTTTGTGCCCCGTCGAAGTTTGATGAACGTGTAAGAGAATAAGCCAATATTCAGCAATACCAATAACCCAACGGGCAAAGCGAAGGCGAATCTTCTACATGTAGATGTGGTGATGTAACAGGATGATCCTCCATAACCCAGATTCCCAAACTGCAGATGGGAAGTTAGAATCACTACCATAACAATCAGCATAGGACATCCCCATGTATAGAGAATTGAGTAAAGCATCATCTTACCTGTTGATGTAAATCGTGATTCAATCGGATAAGACAAATTGTAGAAAAGGATAATAGTGCATACATTCATCCAGAAAGTGGTCGACAACCAAAAGAAATGGGTAAGGACTCCAAGTGTTTCACAAACCCACTTTATTTCTATCTGTTCAACTCCAAATTCAAACAAGGTCTGGGCTACGAAGAGTGTTACAGTAAGCATCATGATACTGGTTCCTATTGATGTACGTCGTTTGTTTAGAAGACAGAACACAAGAAATGTGACGAAAAGAAAAACCAAGGAACAAGTTGTACAGATACCAGACAAAAGACCTAATGTTGATATGGTGCGTTTGGGGAAACTAATAAATTTTGTTGTTTCTGCATCGGGACATGACTTTGCTTCTGCATCAATAGCTTGTTGGGTGTAATCATCAACGCACACCAGATAACCTCCATCCATTGTTATTTTGAATTCAAAGTCGTTAAGGGATCTGTTATTCGCTCTTATCAGTAAACTTTTGTTGTCAATAGAGAGAACTGCTTCGGAATCGCGGAGAGAAATACTTGGGCAGGTATAAACTTTATGAAAGATAATTATTTCTGAACTAAAGAAAACAAACTCTTTGCTTTGCATGTAATGAATTATGGTGGGGATGTTGTATTCCTTACAGGGGGTAGTTAGATCACTGTTGAGGATATAAGTGTTTTGGGGGTTTATACGTGTGCCACTAAATGAAAATGTAAAATTCATATCGTTGTCTATTTGACCCCATCTTGGTAGTTCTGACAAAATTCTTCTTTCAAATTCTCTGATTTTCACAGCTTCTTTGAAGATAACTGTAGATTCCACCCCGTACGTCATGATCATACTCTTTCTACACGGACTAATATACCGTACGTGTATAGCCATGAATAAAATACTACCCATCAAGTCAGCTGTGTTGTTAACTATTATATCTTTGATAATCAAGGTGTCATTTGAACTAACGAGGGTTGAGTTAAATCGTATCTCCACATCTAAACATATCAAATACCTAATCAAATTGGTGACTTCAAATACAGATACACATTCTCCACCCTTGAGCTCCTTGCCATTAACACAACTGGTGTTCCTGCAAGTACACTAAAGAAAAACAATCCGAATTAGAAGAAATGTAAAAAAGAATTTCGGTTCAGTCAGAGGTTCATATCCTATATTTATAAAAGTATTTTATTCGGGTATTGAAATTGGGGTCTTGAAGATGTCAAAAAGGCTGATTGGCAGGCCCGGCGGAGTGGGGGGGGGGGGGCGGGGCTAGTGGGGCTTTAGCCGACCCAATAATTTGGCCGCAAGTACTCTTTTCTCCAGGTTATTGGGGCCCCTGGACCAACGCCTATAAGGACCTAGGATGGAAGCCCCCCCCCCCCCGATTGGTGCATTAAGAATTCTAAATTATAACTTAAACCCACCATTATAGCTAAAACGAACAGCATTTTGGATTCAAGAACTAACTTGTTTATATTAAATTGGTTTCCGAAGATACCACTTTTGGTCGGTATCGTGTGTGGGGCAGAGTATGTGTAGTGCCTCTAAAAAATGGATACCACTTGCCACTGACTGGATTTTATCTGAATGATATACATGATCATTACTACTTACCAAATATGGGTCTTCTAGCGTTGGACAGGTGAAATCATTCGGAACCACCTCACTCGCCATTGGGGATTCATCCGATAGATCAAATAAAGATGTCAAAGCCACCGAGAAAACCGTAGTAGGGTCCCTTGGTACGTAATCATTCTTTATGAATGCCCACGGGAAGTATGTGTTACATATGTAGCAAAATATATTCTTATAATATTTAATTGGGTTGTATGGCAGTTCTTCGCATGATTTGTTCGTCAAGGCGTCGAATCGTAGCCACTGTCCAGTTTGGTTACATTTCGTAAAAGTTACATCATCCTGGGAAGATGGACATTCGTGTGGTATAGAGTTCTCGGGTGGTATATATTTGACTGTACATTCGCTTTTCCCCATGATATCCCGAAATATTTGATCCTTTGATGACGTGTCCGTAAATGTCGGTAATCCTGATATACAAACCACGTTGGCTTTCCATGCATCCCCATTTTGAACACCGTTGCACTGGGCACAGTATTTATTTTTGTAAACTAAACCTGTTGTAAGGTCCGAGACCAGTTGTGTAAATCGCCAGTTGTCGGTGCTGTTTTGTTTGCAAAGTTTCTGGATAGCTGTGTCCTGGTACTCTTTGGGACAATCATCAACTCTCGTAATGTAAATGCCAAGATCCGGAAATCTAGTTGAACCACAAGTTGTGCGCACGACCTTCGCAGGTGTTGTTTTCCAACCTGGGCAACAGTCACCATAGTATTGACAGGGTTCATCACAATAACATGTGTCACAGTAAATGTTTGGTTCAGAGTCTAATCTTTTAGTACAGCTTTGTCGACAGGCAAGCTCGTAAATATAGACTGTCTGAGATTCAAAGTCTATATACGAAGCGTTTGCTTCTTCGAACGCAAATCTGTATGATTTGCGCGGTGGCTCATCATCATTAGATTCGTAACTGCTGACATAATCTGATCTTGGCACAATATAAAAGTAATTAGGGTCGCTAGAAGCATCTCCAACGGGCAACGTCAAACTACGTAAAATTACAAAAACTGTAATACTAAACAAACGTTTATGCCATCCATTGCGTTCCATGGTCGTTTGCGTTTAAATGGGATAGAATTATAATAAAATGACCTTTTATATAGACGCTCTCGATAATGACATTTCACCCCCTTTTAGATCCTTGCTTTAAGTAATTCTATGGATATACTACTTCGGTCAAAGGATTAGGTGACAGATTTTACAAAATGGCCTACACTAATCGTTAATAGTATAATATATCTGGCGTATATCTAGTAAATTCGGAAGCGTTTCAAAACTAATTCTTGGATAACTAATAAATGGAATTCAAAAATACGGTATGACATTTAAAAAGGTTTGGTGTAAGAGTGATTGTTTTTAACAATTATGTTTTTATTTGTGTATAATTATTAAATGGAATTTTGATATACACATGTATCTATTACACGAATATGTATGTGTAATACAATAATGGTACCGTATATTGTATTCAGTTATGATGTGAAATTAATCTATGAAAATCACCCAACGAATCCACAATGAATATCAAGTAGAATTGGGAGTTGTTTTATTTCAGGACCTTAATGTAAAGGATTAGGGAGATGTACCCTTTTAAATAGTGCTAGTGACTTTAAAGTTAAAATTATCGGAATAATTGGCATATTAATTTGTACACTGACGATCTGAAGGCGACAGGCTGAAAATAGTTATCAAATTATCTGTTGTATTTTATAGTATAAATTATATTTCGATTATTGAACCGTAATAACGACGAAATCTAGGCGCACTGATAATCCCTCTTGTATGAATCACGAAAGAAGCAATCATTATATCAGTCGCTTTTCTCTCCCGTAAAAAATGATCTCCTTATTTGTATTTTCGCACATTTGCAATAGACAACCAATCTGTTTCACAGAGGTAATGCGAAAGCCTTCTAACTTTGTGTGAGATCACTGACCTTAATAAGGTTCATATTATGCATTATACGTGTGACATCACATCACATGACGTCGATCGATCATTGACATCAATAGCAAGTGCATTAAACGTAAGACGCTGTAACGTAAACTGATCCGGGCAGAATGGTGCATTTTACTCATTTTACGCAATCGCGTACTATTTTATGTACCCATAAAATACTTCAAACAGCTTTATTCATTTTTTAATACCTCAAAAAAATGTTTTAAAATTTAATTTGCAGAAGGAAAAAAGTTAAGGCTATAATTATGAGCTAATAAGATAAGATTTAAGATAAGATTTTATTGCATCGAAACATCCATTTAGGACGGCATACAATATTTATAAACGTGTACATAAAAATTATAACAACATGACAATTATTACACAAGACACACAATATTGCATCGGAACCTCCATATGAGAGAGAGAGAGAGAGATCAGTGATGTCCCCCCCCCCCCCCCTTCGTGATTGCAGCGGCCTAGCGAATCTTCAATGCTGATCAGTTTAACAGACAACGGAGCCACGGTGGCTATAAAGTAAGACGATGACTCTCTCTTGGGGTCCCGTGATCGATTCCTGCGTTGACCTAGAAAGTTCATCGTTTTTTTTTCGGTGTGGTTCCGCCTTGTCAGGATCGAGGGCCTGGCAAGGGATAACGTATAGTTGTTGTTCGGGTGGAACGAAAACTGAGGTTCGGTGTAGCCATTGGTGTGCACGTAAAAGATCCCTTGACAATTGGAATTCGATATAAGAGTATATCGAAGCCCAGCTGTCCTGGCAAAATTTCCCTCATGCTCATATTCGCCCAGTCGGTGCAGAATAATTTATTATCAAAGAACATTTTACAGTCATATGGCTTTGACAGATTTAGTTCAAGCGTGCTAACGCGAGTCTAACATTTTATAAGAGGTGACTTTTGATTGGTTATTTGTTGGCGTTGAAGTAAAATCCTACCCGATTTGACCTTTCCTTCTGTATTTATATAATGTAAACAAACACACATGTGATACCGGTAGTTTAATGGACGTCTGTCGTGAAAGTGATATTGTACTCTGGGCTTCGTATTTTGTTTTAGATAATACCGTGTCGTCTGCTTATTTGACGTGTGGAAGACGTAGTACAAGTTCTTATTGAAAGATGGCAGAACATGCTGTTTTACATAGTGGTTATTTTCATCCTGTTTTACGTCTGTGGCAGTCAGTCAATACAACGATAACACCTACCAATTTGATTTACCCAATATTTGTTGTGTAAGTATGAAAATTTATAACTACATTCATAGATTATATAGTTCGAATAACTGACCTAGATGGTAAAATGTGCTGGATAAAGTGTGTGTGTGTGCTAACGTAAAACTCAATAGCCGATGCCTATGTTTAAAGGATAGATCAAGAATATACATACATACTTGAAACATAAAGTTTCAGATATTTTAGTAAATAATTGTGAATCTATTTTAAAATATTGCATGGAAAAATAAATTCACTGTGGGTTATCTATAGTTTACACATATGCACCTATAATTTGTATATTGTATAATAGGGTATATATTGTAATTGATGTATGGATTAAATTATTTATCTATATATATATTTGTGACTGTCGTTTGTCTGTCTGTCTGTTCGGGGTTGGCGGCTACACTAGGTCTGCCCCGAGTCTGAAATTTGATGTATAGGGTTAGCTTGGACCGGGCCGGGGAGTAACATAGGCCAGGTGGCATTAATCTACCACTTCCGGTTTCGGAGTTATGACCCCCGAGTGAAGCCGGTCTGTTCGGGGTTGGCGGCTACACTAGGTCTGTCCCGAGTCTGAAATTTGGGGTATAGGGGTAGCTCGGACCGGGGAGTAACATAGGCGTTAGTGGCGTTAGTCTACCACTTCCGGTTTCGGAGTTATGACCCCCGAGCGAAGCCGGTCTGTTCGGGGTTGGCGGCTACACTAGGTCTGCCCCGAGTCTGAAATTTGGGGTATAGGGGTAGCTCGGACCGGGGAGTAACATAGACCAGATGGCGTTAGTCTACCACTTCCGGTTTCGGAGTTATGACCCCTGAGCGAAGCCGGGTATCCTGCTAGTACATTTATATAATTGCTTTGTGCTAATATCAACATTATAGAGTCCATGGTATTGAGTGGCTTAGTTGATAATTAGAAACTGGCTCACTAACCAGGGGTGGGGGGGAGAGAGGTTTGATCCTTTACAGCTTGGTTTCCAGTTGTCAGCAGGGCAGGGCGGAGTGAATGGTAATGAACAGCATCTAGTTGTTTGGATTGGACGAAAAGCTATATGAACCTCTGTTAGAGGTCACATAAAATAACCCTTGACATTTTGTATTCAAAAAATTAACAGATATGCAGCTTTCGGGGCACTGCATGGTGTATGGCTGTCTCTATCAGCCCAGTTGGTTGGTGGAGAAAGATAGGACGTTACAATCCATTTCATTTAATTTCCATGGTATTAAATATTTGCTATATGCTACATATATGTATATTATTAACTATTATACAGACTAGCCATATGTAATAAAAATATGGATTATAATTATGTAAATGTATGAAAGTATAAGCATACTATAAGACAAGAAATACTGGTGTCAGGTTAGGTTGACAAATTATATGTGTATTGAAATTAATGGACTAGCTGTATCCTATGGAAGCCTATAACTACCATTCATAATTTCTACTTTTCACCTCTTCAGAACACGAAAGTCGAAAAGTCGAAAAGTAGAAGTTACGACAAAATGTGAGGCGACAAGACGGTATACAAGCCAAAATTAACTCGAAAATAGGAAATTAAGAAATAACACACCGCGATAATAGCGCCTCCCGTTTTTACTTAATTTCTACTTTTCGACTTGCATTTTGGCTTGTATACCGTCTTGTCGACTTTCGACCTAGTCATATTTTTGTATTTATTGATGTCGGTAAGAAGGCGCCAACACGCTATACAAGCCAAAATGTAACTCGAAAAGTAGAAGTTACGACAAAATGTGAGGCGACATTTAACAAAAATGTCTGTATGCGCGTATTCAAATGTGACCTGGAAGGCAGAGACTACAACAGCTTCCTAGTAGAAAAGTCGAAAAGTCGACAGTACGACAGATCATAGGTCGCATTTGAATACGCGCAATTCCCGTTAACAAAAATGTCTGTATGTGCGTATTCAAATGTGACCTGGAAGGCAGAGACTACAACAACTTCCTAGGCGAAAAGTAGAAAAGTCGACAGTACGACAGATCATAGGTCGCTAATAGCGCAGTGTGTTAATTTCCTAATTTCTACTTTTCGAGTTACATTTTGGCTTGTATAGCGTGTTGGTGCCTTCTTACTGAAGAGGCGAAAAGTAGAAATTATGAATGGTAGTTATAGGCTTCCATAGTATCCCTCTTTAAAACTAGAATTGTGACACTTTTTAATACACCATAATTAGATATGAACCACATTTATTAGACTACTCATGCTAGGTCCTATTTAGTGCATTAATATTTGTTTGAATTTATTGTTTTTTATTTGACAATATTCTCTCTGATATATTCAATAATTATTCACTCAGAATTGTTAGAATTTACATGTGTATTCACTGCTATTAGCTAACACACTAATAACATAACTAGGGTTATATAATAGCTTTCTCTCCTTCATTAAAGTAGCTAACTCAGATTCCATAGGATATATTTTTATACAATATAAATAAAAATAAACTACTTGAGAAAACCCTCAATGAAATATTGCTTTAATTAAAATAGCAATTGTGTTCCATATTATGTTTACATGTTTATTACGTATGTCAATTGCTAAATGATGCTCAGAGAAGATAAGGTAAATTATGTGTGCAAATCCATTGCAAAAAATGATGTTGCTATGTGTAAAGACCTGATTAACAAAAAAAGCAGTATACTGGCTTATAGACATGAAGGACCCTCATAACTGGGAGGGGAAGGGGAGGGAGTGGTGTGCTGGGGAGATTGGCATAGAAATTGATAGACCCCATCCTTCCCCCACCTCTCCCAAATATGAATTTCGTTCCGACATATGTCACCAGGTAAAATTAAAGTGGACTTCAGATAGCTATATAGGACAAGTATCTAAATAGTTGATCATACAGAATTACCCAATATTATTCACTGGTATATCTATATAGGATAACTTCTTTAATAATTGATCAAATGAGCTGTGAACGATATTTTTAAAGAAATCTTCCCCTTTTACAATTTATTTTCCACTTTTAGTGATGATCCTGAGGCACAAGAAGAAATATCAAGTTTACCAGGGCAATGTAGATATGGGGTAAATAAATTAAAGTCAGCACTTCAACCATTAATAGATAATGGTCTTCAAACTGTTCTTCTATTTGGAGTACCAGGAAATATACAAAAGGTAAAACACATACATTTCTTTTGGTATTCGATTCGGAATACTGCTTTCTATGTCATGTTATTTTTACTGATCCAAATTGAATATACAGAGAATCATTGCCTTTGGTGTAAAAATAGTGGTTCAAAATAGTGGTTAAAAATAGTGGTTAAAGGGACCATCCAGATTTTAATAGAGTCTTAGAAATAAAAGTCTGTGTATGTATGAAATCTGAATGCCAAAATATAGAGGGAAAGGTGTATTTACCTTGTCTCAAAATTTCAGCTCAAAATATTATCTGGGCACATAACCCTTTTAACATTTCGGGTCAGTTTTTTCGGTGGGTTACCCGATAATCTGTTGCAGTTCCTTTAGAGGTCTATGCATGTCCCACGTGCTGTACTTGATAACAAAAAGTAAATTTCACCTGCACCTAATGTTTATAACATAAAAGTCAGGTTTCATCCAGACACCATAAAATACAGCTTGGGACACCAGTCTCCATTTCCAGATGAAGACTGACGGGTTTAAGTTGTTTGAAAACGTATCACGTATATTGAGTTAGTTACTCGACCCTAAGGTAGAGGATTGTAAGGGATTTTCACACAAAATTAAGCAGTTTTATTCTCCAAAATATAATCGAAATTGGCTCTTTAAAAATTGTGATTAGGAATACTTCTTTGACAGTTTTAATAAAAATTTAGAGATGCTACCCTTGATTTGAAAAGAAGCAGAAAATCACTCTCCTACAAAAAACTTTGTTTCCTGTGGCGGTTTATTAGTCCATTGTTTGCTATACATGTATATAAGGATTTATTTATGGCTGATTAATTTGACAACAAAGTTGGTCAATTTTAAGATTGTTTGCTAGGCAATGAAAGCGGATTCAGAAGCTAAAATCCACATAAGTTGTCTCAAAAAGAATAATGATTACTTTAGAGTCATTTATATAAATTTAACATTTGATAGGCACCACAAATAAACTGACTAACAAATCAAGATTCGCCTATGAATGCTATTACATAAGTAATAAGTTGACAAGAATTTTTTTGCTTATATAACTTAACTAGAATAAGGTCAGATATTTCAAGGTTAACAAATGGGTTACATGAGCAGTTCTTAAATGTCTCACTATCTCCATAGTAACTGGTATAATATATTTGAACCAATTTTGGTAAGGCACATACCAAAAAATACTCTGTCATTTTTTCTCATAAAAGTGACATATTTATTTAATTTATCAGATTTATTACATTACATAAGGGCTTATGTGATAAGCAATTAGATTATATAAAAAATTTAAATGAACAAATTATTTCATAGCATATTGATTTATATTTGAAATTGTAAGAAGTTCTTTTTACTAATGCTTGATTTACTAAGGACTCCCTAAAGCTCAATTAACCAAAGGGGGATATTGACAAACATATTGGGTTTGGAAGGTAGTTGTGGATCTAGGAGTGGGTGGTTGACGTGGACTGATTGATCCTCAATAATTTTGTCAACAGAAATGGTAGGCATCTCTCATATTTTACTGCTTAAGTTCACTCTGATCACCACACCTATATGTCTCTACTGAATGATAAATGTTGCTTAGGAACTAAAAGTACTGTTAGATTGGAATTGTCTATGTGAATTTTATAAAAATTAAAAAAATGAAGAAGAAAAAGGAAGATGTTTCTCAATTTATAGTGTTCCTTTTTACCCCTTAAAGCACTTAGACCACCCCAAACTTTCACATATCTTGGGCAGTTTGGGGTGGTCTAAGGGCTGGCAATTTGAGTCACCTATAAATATATTACTTTCTCTATAATATGGTACTGGCGTAGTCAATATTTACATGTACCAAGTGCTAAAGGGGTAATTTAAAAATAAAGCTGATCACTGTACATGGGGAAACCATTTAATGTTTTCTAGAGTGTATGGATTTTATAGGAATATAGGCCTATTCTGATTTTTCTTGTTCTACCATTTGTTACATAACATAATATATATTTTTTTTCAATAAAGGATAACCGGGGATCTGGTGCTGATCTATCAACAACTCCTGTAGTTATAGCTGTTAAAAAATTGAGGGAATGGTTTCCTAACTTATTGATAGCTTGTGATGTTTGTTTGTGTCCATATTCAAGCCATGGACATTGTGGTATGATAATTATGTATATTTCATTCTTTTTAGTGGGTGTTGCATGAGAAGTTGGGTGGGTGGGTAGATAAAATTTGTGTGACTTGCACAGCTTGGTTTGGATTAAAGCTGTGGACTCACGAGCCGAATTTGTATTCGGTCGCATGATTCGCCTAAATCAAACATGTTTGATATATTCGCCTAGTATGTCTGCTTCGGTGAAGCATTCGCCTGAATGTAGAATTCATTAGCCAATCACCACACATCATCTACTCATATCGAGAAGTCACGTGATTGTTTGAAAACATGGTCGGCGCCATGTTTAATCAAGTGACATGAAAGGTTATATGCAAACTCTGATGAATCGGGCGAAACATTCGCATAGTGTGTCCACCCATTCGGTCGAATAAAACTTTGTGCCGATCGATTCAGCCAAATGTGCCCACCACTTTAGGAGCACTAGTTCTGGACAATCCAAGTACTAAATGGTTAAGTTATATGATTCTATAAGTACTGTAATGATACCAACCAGCCCATTCTACATGTATAAATAATTTTTGTGACGAAAAAAGCGAGGTCTCGTGTACACGTAGGCTTGCATTTAAAAGAACCTTTGACATCTGGAATTCATTTGCTGTCTTGGCAAAATTTCAGTCATAGCTAACTGTATGTGTATGCTCATTTTCATTAACCCAGTAGGTCATTTTGGGACTAACATATTGTTCAATTTTCATTTCAATAACTCACTTGTGGGTAGGGGTCTTTAGCAGTGGGAGGAAACCGGAGGACCTAAAGAAAACCCACAAGGTTGGACAGGCGACACTTACTACTCCATGTCGCGAACAAGCAGGGAATAAAAACCACGCCACTTGACTCAATGACAGATCTGATGCATGCGTTACCCCCCCCCCCCCATCCCAAATAGGTTAAGAAAGTAGGATTTTAAACACAAGAATAGGTAATGCTTGTCAGAAAAGTATATTCATTTACGCAATGGGTTTTACCGTCTTGTGTATGCTTGACATAGGTATTTTGAAACTAACATATGGTCATTTTATGTCTATTTTGAAGTTTAAAATGTGAGTTGGGGACAATTTTAACCTAACAACATATGTTCTGTCTACCCTTCTTTGAACTGCATCTATCAAGGGATCTTTTATTTGTATAAGCTATATACCTTTTTGTTATATGGGATACCTTTTTGTTATATGTCTATGTATTACAGGTATTTTACAAGATAATGGTGTAATAGATAATGAAGCTAGTATACAACGATTAGCTGAAATAGCAGTGAACTATGCTAAAGCAGGTAAATGTAACAATCTTCCAACCCAAAAACTACATTTGATCCTAATAAAATTTGCAGTAGAATTACGTTTTTTTGTTTAAATGTGGATTAATTAATATACTAACTACGACCATTAATTGACGGAGACTCCTAATGATTAACCAGTCCATGATGTTATAAATATTCAACATATGTGCGAAAAAAGTTGTAATTTGGTTTTAGACCCATTTTACAAAAACATATCTGAATCTTCTGTTTAATTTCGTTGTATTGTCTTACTTACAGGTTGCCATATTATAGCTCCATCTGATTTAATGGATGGTAGAATTGGAAGTATTAAAGCAGCATTAAAATCAAATGGAATAGCTAATACAGTAGCTGTTATGTCTTATAGTGCGAAATTTGCATCTAAGTTTTATGGTCCTTTTAGGTGAGTCCTATCCACTTTGATCTTATCAAGAATATGTAAGACTTTTTTAAAACAGTAACCTCGAAAGCAAAAATTTCATAGTGGTGACTTAGTGTGAAACCTGGAAATATATTTTATTTTGTTCATATACTTTAGTATATTTCATCTTCTCATTTGTTAGTAAAATGTTTTTTGATTTGTAGAGATGCAGCGAAAAGTGCTCCAGCATTTGGTGATAGGTCATGTTATCAACTACCAGCTGGTTCTATAGGACTAGCTGAAAGAGCTGTGGTTAGTATTATCAATTTTACGTGATATCCTTTAAGTTCGTTTTACTGGATTAGAGAACTAGATAACTTTATAAAACAAAATAGTATAGTAATAATCGCAATAATTTGGCCTGATTCCCACTCGAGTCAACTGTATGGCATATTGTTTAAATCACACAAAATCACATCTGTTCTTCTGATATTATATTATTTCAGGTCGACTATATTATTTTTTCATTCGCTGTTTAGCCAAATATTAGTCTATTTGATAAACACATATACATCTGTCAATTAAACCCTCAATATCCATCTTCTATTGTGACAAGCTTTCAAAACATGTATAGTTAGATTGATCAATATAAACATTGGAACAACTGATTGTTTCTGTGTGTTAATATGCTGATAGTACAGATGAAAAGATAACTATATTGTTGAAATTAGTGAGATCCACTTGATTTACTGATATGTCATCAGATTGATATCAGTGGGAACTAGCTTTAAATTTTATTCTGCAAGCAACATAATTACAAATATTCTTACCGATCTGTTGTCGAATTAAATTTGTAAAGTGTAATAAGTAAATAGAAATATAAGTATATGTGTAATGCGAAAAAACAAGTATGTGTAATAGTGATAACATAAGTATATGTGTAATAGTGATAACTGATAACAGAAGTGTATGTGTAACATAAGCACGTCATGTGTAATAATGTGATAATTAAGTATTTGTGTAATAGTGATAACATATAAGTATATGTGTAATAATGTGATAACATAACTATATGTGTAATATTGTGATAAATTAAGTATATGTGTAACAATGTGATAACATAAGTATATGTGTAATATTGGGATAACTTAAGTATAATGTGATAAAATAAGTATATATATGTAATGATGTGATAAAATAAGTATATGTGTAATAATGTGATAACATAAGCATATGTGTAATAGTGATAACATAAATGTATGTGTAATAATGTGAAAACAGAAGTATATTTGTAAAACAATTATTTACAATAGGATCGAGATGTAGCTGAAGGCGCTGATATGTTAATGGTTAAACCTGGTATGCCATATTTAGATGTTGTTAGGTTGACAAAACAAAAGGTACAATATAATTTTTTTAGTACTTGAGCCCAAGGAAACCAATAGACAAGTGACACTACTCCTTGTTTCATTTCCTGGCAACCTAATTTCCTGTATCTTAACCATTTCCCACTTTTCGCTGGGCTGACAGGATACTACTACAGATGGAGCAATATAGCATTTCAACATAACCAACCTCTAAACTGTTATCTTTCTGCCTTAATATCATGGCTATTCTCTGAAATGTGACAGAATTAAATTTGGAACATTTTCTTTGATTCTAAATCAATTCATTTTTGCAATTCGACATTTTGAGCAACTTTGCAGGAGTTACACCCCTTTAGTCTTCACATTTTTGTGTTAAAAATTCTACAACAGAAATTTCCTTAAGACTGTATGTCTTAAATTCAATCTGTGTTTCTTTATAATGGAAATATTTAATTTGAATCATAATTTTCTAGTGAAGACAGAATTTCATCCCACAATTCATATTAAAATATAAAATCCAATGAAATCGACAATATAACTTTTGTACCAAATGAAAGAGTTCTAGTAATTTTAATTCATGTATGAACTGTATGCTTGTATTTGTAGTTTTATTACATGTATCCGTTATATCATTGACTAGATTTATACACTGCAGGAAGCGATAAATAATTAAATCTATTTTATTTTACTTTATATTTTGTACTGTTTTATAGTATCCATCTCATCCATTAGCAATATATCATGTATCTGGTGAATATGCTATGTTATATCATGGTGCTCAAGCTGGTGCCTTTAATCTAAAAGATATAGTATTTGAATGTTTACAGAGTATGAGACGAGCAGGTAAGTTTAATCAATATATTGATTTTTATCTACCTTCACTACACTACATACATACACAACTAAACTTGTAACAATTCACAAAAGATTTTATATAAACTCTGTAAATGTCTGTGAAAGGATAAGTTGTGAGGCATGATATAAAATGAACAAATCATTATATCTTAGATTGTCTAAGGCATGTATTGAGAATTGTTCAAGAAGTGTAATAGCATTATGCATGTAATGCAATGATAACCCACACACATCAAGTTAAAATCAGTACTTCCCCTTTGGCTATTGCTTGCCCTTTTATACACTTACCCGTATCTGTTTCTCAGTCTGTGGATTTGTCTATTGGTCAACAATTCTTCCACCCGTCTACAGGTCAAGAACTTTTGAAATTGTGTGTTCAAACTTGCTAGGATTGTTTAGCTAGTCCAATGGAGAGCTGCATAGCGATTTTTCTCTGAATTATTGCTAGCAATAATGTGTAGTCATTGCCCCTGATTTCATACTACATTTATATCTTTGAGGATACACAATTGAACATTCTGGATTTGAATTCTCTCAATCCTAAAAATAATGACAATGGAGTGAAAAGGGGTATTTTGGCTACAATGCATATGCCGAATGCACCAGAAAATATCTCAACCAACCATGAGAGCTGAAACATATTTATTTGTTAGTTAAATATGTCATGATTCTAATCACAACACCCCTGTTGTCGGGACTGACAGAACTGTGACAGGACTGAATTCAACATCACTCAAGTGCAATCCTGTCAGTTCGGAACAATCTGGACTGACAATTGAACATTCCTATTTTGTCAACCACAATATCATTTGAATACTCTGTATACTTACCTTTTGCCAAATTTATATGGATTTGGTTTCATATTTGTCGCATGAAGAAACCCATTAAATGTCAACATTTTCTATGTGTGTATTTTTGTATAAAGGATGCGGGTGATTTCCTATAATAATGTATAAATTTATATTTTTACAGGAGCAGACATGATTATAACTTATTTTGTTCCTGATTTGTTAAAATGGCTGAAGGAGTGAACACCTTTCTTTTATAACATTAAATAATTAGCTGTTATCTTTTTTCCCCGAAAGAAGGTTAGCCTCTTAGATTTATGTCAAAATAGGGTAATAAATTGGGTTGATCTGATGTATTGTTTTAATTATTCACAAAGAAAGCTCTATACAATTAAATTTTTATTTTAAAAGATTACCAGGAAGTTGGCTTATTTACTGATTTTATTTTGATTGATGGCTAACTTAAAATGCAGTCAGTTCTATCTTATCACAGACTTATAATAAAGACAGATATCACCCAACAATTTAAATGAAGATTATAATCCAGTGAAAGCTACATTATAAATTTTGACACAAATCGAACAGGTCTAGTCATTTTAATACATTTTTTATCTGTATACATATAGTGGTTGCTTTAGATATTATTACATATCAATTATAATTATTTTAATATGTATTAATATAAAATGGCTTTATATTTTATTACATATCAATATATTATTTGACTAGATTTATACACCATTTAATATAAAATGACTTATTACATATCAATTATAGGTATATTATTTGACTAGATTTATACACCATATTTAAAATATGTATTAACATAAAATGTAGAATTGTATGGTACCAATCTAATTAAATTAGATATCTCTTCTACCAGATTATATGTTCTATTTGAAGTCTTCCTTCAACCACTTTGATTGGTAAAAACTATTAGTGTAAAGTGTTGGTCTAGTCAGGTCAGTTAAACAAAAAAAATAATGATTTTGTTAGACCTTAGTGAAAATCTTTACAGGAAACAAAAAAAACCCCAAAAAACAATATTTTATTAGGATAAAAATACATTGGCTTACTGATATAAGATTATGGTGATTTGGTCAGCTAGAAAAGTTGGCATCTATGAATGCTATGTTATTGTATATATATCTCAAGATAATATAAAGTAAATTACACATTTTCTGTACAACCAGGTATCCAACATGTTTGAAAAACATACAAAAATGTCTAAACAGACTAAAGACACAGATTAATATTGTATGCATTATACATTATTATATCATTATTTCTTTTAAAACTATGTTTGTTAATTATGATTGATTTTACATTAGAAATTTGACATGAATTTGAGCTCATTCTGCATACACATATGATAATATATGTATATTAAAGTTTTTATTTTAAAACACATTGTATTTATTCACTGTTCATTCAGAACATGTACATATAACTGGAAAGGATAGAAAGAGGGTATGACATAGAAATAGTTCCTTCTTTACATGCTGTAATAAAATACTATGCCATTGAAATATTTCCGTCGCCCCTGTCCGTGGTTCACATTCCACGTTAATCATTTGATTTTTTTTAAAAATTTACACATGTTGTTGGCATTAGTGAAGCATATAATTGAATTTCAGCAATCTCTGTTATTTACTTATTACCATTGTTTCACTTTGTAGAATCTTGTGACCGCTCTTGTCAGCCGATCTGTTTTCAATTTATATGCATTATTCAAATTTGGGCTACGAAGAAATCAATTGAATTTCATCAATTTCTGTAAAATACTTCTAGGAGTTATGTTCCTCTTTTACACTTAGTAGCATCTTGTGAACTCTCTAACCACAAAAGCCCATCCCATTATTTTATATGCAATAATCAGATATCTGAAACGAAGAAGACTATTGATTTTTATATGTCCACATTGAAATGTGGTCGTATATTGTGGTCACCCCAGTGATTAAGGTTATAAAATGGAGAATCCTATTGATTTTCAACGATTTGTAATAATTACTGCCAGAGTTATGGCCCTTGATCACTTTGAAAAATCTTTTGGGTGCTCTAGAGGCTAAATTTAATATCCTATTGACCTTAAATTTGTACACAGTGCTTAAGGTCATCAGATCAAGAAACCTATTGATTTTCAACGATTTTCGATAACTACTTCCAGGGTTATGACCCTTGATAGCTTTGAAAAATCTTGTAGATGCTTTAGAGACCATAATTATCATCTGATTGATTTTATATGTATACACCGTATAATCGTTTCAATTGACTTTAGATTGATACACAGAGTTTAAGGTCTTGAGACGAACAAGTAGATTGATTTTCAATGATTTTTGGTAACTTGAACAGCTTTAGCTGGTAATACCAATTAAACTGTCAGCATATTTCTGTTTCGAATTCTATTTTACCACCGAATGCTTCTGGGGCCGCCGATGCGGCTTCTGGTGCCGCCGATGTACCTACACTTGACGGGTCTAGGGTGCCCCCGAAAATTTTGGAAAATAGGGTTTGCACCAGAGGATAGTAACTATGAGAATAACGGAAAATTTCAATTTTGAGACTGAATTTGCGATATTGACGTATTATGATATTTTGATATGAACATTATAAAAATTTGAAGGAAGGAATATACGTCTTTAGTGTACCTATAATAATTTATGAGAAAAACGAAAAGTACGGAATCAGGTTAGAGTGCGACTTGTTTGTATTTTGAAGATTATCACGCCTGGTGCGGGCTTGAATCAATCTCACCCCCAGTCTGATTAAAACACAGATCCTATTTCGTTTCGTTTTTTATAGTTCAAAATTTCGTTTTACTTGTCTTTACTACACTAGGATCTGGAAGAGTTATTAAATAATCCGCGTTCTGGTTGAAGTAAGGGATTAGCCAATGAAACGGTCTGTTACGGCGACCTTCCACTACAACTGACCAGACCTTCATGTAGTGTATAAAAGAACAAAACGAAATTTAGATCTGTATTTTAATCAGATTGTTTCATCCCCATCGGGAATTTGACCTGGAAAATATCTTACAATCTTCATTTGGCTTTCTTATGGTAAAATGGTAGATTTCTTCGGGCGTCGGTATGCGGTCGGTTTCTTAGTTGGGCGCCATGATCTTATCGTGGACGGCCCACCAATCTCGGCATTATGGGCGCCCCTCCAGGATGAGGCACACCACCAATCATGCCATTTTGGTGCCCCATTGATCAAGTCGTGGACGCCCAAACAATCTCATTCGACGTTATGCATTATATGCGACCCGACAATCATATATTGTCATTATAAGGCGCCCACCAATCATGTCATTATGAGCACTACTCATAGTGTAATACTATGATCTTTTCGGTCATATTGTATCTTTAATTAATTATTACATTCACACATTGTAGAGAAGTCATCTGTTTTACAGAGTATTACGAAAGTCTTCTAATATCTCTGTAAAAGATGACTGCCTTCAACACATGACGTTATATCACGTGGCGTCAGTCATTGGCTCAATGACGCATGCATTGTTTACTTAAAACGTTACTGATTCGAGCAGGATGGTGCCTTTTACTCATTTTAATACTCATTTACACTAAAATAGGAAATAATTTTTACCTACAAATACTTCAAACGTCTTTATTTATTTTTCTAATACATAAAAAATATGTTTTAGAATTTAATTTTTCGGAGGAAAAAAGTTAATATTTATGGCTCATTAAGTCGCATCGATGTCATCCTATCAGTGATTGTCACGGCCTAGCGAATATTAACTGCAGATCAGTGTGAGAAGTCATATCTTACGTACTCAAATTAAAATGATTGAGTGGTTGACACATAAAAAGATTTATAAAACCAAAACAGAGATGATTTTAGGTGAACCCAGAAAATCATGTCTATCACTTGTGTTGGAAAATTCCTATTGCATCATTTGGCTTAGCAACCAATCATCATAATTAATTAGGTAATATTTGTCCAATTAAACACTTGACAGAGTTGTCTTAAAGGGACTATCCCGATTTGAACAGAGTATCAAAAATAAAATTTAAGCGCCAAAATATAGAGGAATGGTGTATTCATCTTGTCTCAAAGGTAGACAATTTTAAGTGCTTTTAACAAAAAATTAAGCAGTTTTATTCTCCAAAATATAATCGGGATTGGCCCTTTAAGGACACTGTCTAAGTTATAAGAGTGGTTTAAGTCCTAGATTTGAGACATCATGAAGATTCCTTAGTGTTAGACAGCTGATAAATTCGGTTCAAGAGACACCAGCTGGGATGAGTAGGCCCCTATTGATGTAACCTCCAGTAAACTCGTCTGTGAGTTAGGGGTAGAAGAGAAAGGCAAGTTAATTTTAAGCGTTGTAAATTATGCATTGTAACCATAAGTATCCAGCTCAGGCCAGGAATAACAATGCATCATTTCGCTTCTACATGTTATATAGAGCTGCAGGCACGTGGCTAGCGGGGGAAAGGGGGCAGCCCAACCAATGTCACTCGGCTTTATGTGGCGTCCATACTAATATAGGCACGTTGGTCGGTGGCTTCGTATTGCGTCCATTGGGGGTGCAGCTACCCCCTGCTTGCTACGGACAAGGTAATAAAACGTCTTTCGTCGGCACGGGTCATATAAATGAACACTATAGTGTAGGAGCTGGCAAAGATTTTTATTAACAGAGAGTGTATTTCACATGTTGACAGAGGAAACGAGCCAACAGAAAAGAAGGTTTGAGAAGATGTAAATTCGGGTAACCAAATGAACGTCTGGTATTTGTGGTGAAAGTCATCAATTTAAAATTCGTTTGGTAAAATGAATTAACACCTCGACTATGCGTTATTCCTTGCCATGCACCACTGCTAAGGGGAAACCACGCCGGAAAATCTCAACGAACTTCATCCGCCGACATCGGTATCGAAGACGTGACCCCCAGGTTAGAGAGCCAACGTCTTACTGACTGAGCTACCTAGGCCGCCTGGAAACGTCCAATGGTCACATTTCGCCTACCCAGAAAATGTTTTATCGCCAGATTTGACAACCCAGAAAGATTTGTATTGCCACAGTGGGCCCCAAGGAACAATCTAACAACCATTTTGTGATTATACTAGAGATGTGCGTTAATATAAATTGGGGTTAATCCCGAGAAGGATTCATATTGCCACAGTGGGTCCCAAGGAATAGTTTTGACGCCAAGTTTGTGTTTGCACTGGAAATGATAGACTGGGCGAGGCCGGCCAATGGTGACTTTTGACATACTCAGAAGTGGGTTAATCCCCAAATTTGACAACTTAGAGGTATCTATTTTGTTATTGGGAATCCAAAGGAACATTTGGTCACAGGCTTCGAGTATGTACTCGAGACGTGTTATAATACCAATTCTAACAATAATGTGAACAGTGCCCCGGGGTTGTGTCCCAAAAAGCGTTACTCAAGAGTTGCGTTTTGGTTAATCCCGATCACATATCTACTAATTCCGGTCCTCAATCCTTGCTAGCTCCTGGACTACTATTAACTGAACGAATTTTTTACCATTTTATCAGTATTTTCTACGATAACTTATATTATAATAATAGACAGGCAATATAATATATATCACGAGCTGCAGATGCTGAAATTAGCTATATATACATATGATACAGTGTTCTATGAAGTTATCACAAGAAATATTAAAATACGTGGAGGAATGTTCCTAATTTAGTTGATCTATTTGTCACTAACAGCACTAGCTCGTGCTATTTTACCTACAATTTCGCTCGGTTCAATACGCTTTTGTCCAAACGTTCCTTTAAACATAGAGACAAACTCCCGTCGGAATCTCGGACCCGTCAGGCAATACAAGAAGAAATGAATTGAATTGTTGGTATATTGAAAAATATTGGCTACAGCCCAACCAAGTTCCAACACGGCCTCCTCCATAGGGTCAGCCACAGCTACCCATACTTGAAATCCTATTAGATACACAGTAATTGGCAGAGACAATATCATGAAAACAAATGTCACCACCAACAGCATCACCGTTAAATTTGTTGATCTGCTATGGAGTCTACGAGATATCTCAGAGTCCAGCTTTGGGCGGAATGAGAAGCTTGTACCCACCTCTGGAGAATTAGTCCGCTCCTGCGCACCGCCAATAGCTGTGTTAGAAACTCCTAAAGCAGCAATGGACAGTGTTTGGACGGTATTTCCCTTCTGTGTGTCCGAAGGCGTTGCTGTATTATGTTGTACACATTTATCTAAATCCATGTGATGCTTTAGCTTCCTAGCTGAGACAGCGATACGGCGAATGATCATCAAATTACATACCAACATTATAGCAACAGGGATGATACAGTTTACAGCAAAGTCCATCCAGGGCCAAATAAAATCGCGGAAGTGTTTTCCAGTAACCGCGTGACTACAACGGATATCTTCTTCAAAATAATCAACTTGTACTAATGTCTGTGTGAACAGAATATGGAAATTAAAACCGATCAGAACCAACGCTATCGCTAACAATGTTTTTCGTGCTATTGACAACGAACTTAAGCTTTTGGCTCTGAAGGGAGCGCAGACTATGATGCATCTATCCACGGTAACAGCTACTAAAATCCAAACACTAAAGGACAATATGAAATAAACAAAAAAGGTGTGGAATCGACATGCTCCTTCGGACATCTCCCTTAAATGTATGTTGTAGACATTCTCCAGCCAGACACGCATCAATCCACTGTACAGAACAGTGATGTCAACAACTGCCAAAATAGACAGGTAGAACATAGCCGGCGAGGAACGAAGTCGTTTCCTGGTGAGAACCAGGAGTGATAACAAATTTCCAAATGTTCCTATAATGATGAGAAGTGGAGAAAATATTCGCCAAAGCCACATCGCAGTTTTATACTCGAGATAATCCGTGAAAGTAATGTTAGTTACCTCACTACTGGTGATTTGGAATAAACTTGTGGCCATCTTGTCCAAGAACATACTAAAATTACGTTGGGGTAACATCCTTTGGAAAGTGCACTTGAATTGATTACGTGTCCGTCATATTCGAACAGAAGTTACCACTGTGCTGATGCACAATTTGACCATGAGGCCTTTCGTTTTAGTACAAAGACAGAACACATGAATAGCCAACCAATTTCTACCAAGTTTTATATTGTGTTCCACCATTACTGACTCATAATATAACAATCCATGCTGATACCAGGCTAAAATATTGTTTATCTTCTTCAAGGCACATAAAATGTCCATATTTAGTCGATAACCGCCGTAAAAAAATTCCAACCAGGGATATTTGAAGTCAGATTTTTTATACCCTATCTGAATGGTTGTTATCACCCAGGCTTCGTGGTATCTTCCCCGCTTGATAGTATTTGTTCAACATCGTGAGTACCTTGTCGTAAATCATTCAACAGTCTTTATAGCTTGTTAGATTATACTCACACAACAATCAAATGTTGAAGATATCCTAGATTTTTTTTCTATACAGATCACTTTGCCTCATCAAGGTTTGAGTGTGCTAAAGCCTTAACCCTGTTTAAATTGCTTTTTTACAATGCTGTGTCTGTATTAAAAATTCATCCAAATCCACGAATCAGATCCGTGCATCATAATTATATACAACATGCAAGCAGTGGCGGTGCAAGGCGGGGTTGAGTGAGATTGTGAGAAGCAACTAAATTTGTTGGTTGTATTCTTTATTCAGGAAATACTCCAAATCCTGGCACCGCAATTGAGCCAAGTCAAAATATAAAAAATAACATTATAAGAAGACATAGATGAGACGGAATGAAAATGCACCACTGATTTGATTGAAACTCATCCCATTGGAACAAATCTTGAATAACCAGTTGCCACAAGCCTACTGATTTCTGTACCCTGTGGTTAAGATAGCCGAAAAAGGACTAACCATTTATGGTGCCAACGCCATGTCCCCCATTAGTCCGATTAACGCCATTTGAACAAACCCGAATACGCTACCACCTATGTTTTATGAAAGGAATATGAGTAAAACTTAGGAAATCAATGTCGAATTTGAACCGAAATAAAATTAGGGAAGTCAGAATTTAAATATTAAACTCGGCGCGCTTTCTATAAACACAAATTTAACTATTAACCAAAGGCCTGCCATTTCATAGATGTGTGAACTCGTAAATTTAAACAAATGAGGCGTGTTTTCACTTTCCAGCTAAAGTGCCTGTCTTATTCATTTCATCTATCATCCTCGGTATTCTCAGTGGTATCGTTCCGTTCTACTCCACTAAACCCTTGTTCCATTCAGGCTTTTTTCGCGAATTCAAATTATCTGCCCTTGGTCGTAGGTTGATTCTAGGAACCAATCAAAAAGCAGTTTACATACCAGCCTTAGCGTCATTGTTTACGTTCACCACAGGCATGTTTGTACGTACCATTGTGAGAAGGGTTGCAAAAGATTTAATGTCAAAGAAGTGAAATGAACACAAAACTATGTCCTAAAATATTTTGAGAAAGTTTGCAACAACGTTTCGGCTATCTTAGTCGATAAAAAAAGCACAAGTATCAAGGTCGGTCTCTCTCGTAAATGAACCCACTGAGAATACCGAGGATATCCATCTACATGTTTGTACAGCTGGAATGACTTTATTATATGCGCCATATTATGCACCATTTAGATACCATGCTCCAATTAAACCCAATCGGAGATGCTTATTGGCGAAATTTGCTAACCTTAAACACTCAGTGATTCATAAAAGTTGAAGACGGTATAATAGTTTGCAAGCATTTAACGATTGCTCCTTGAAAATGCGAGGTCTGAAGCATATTCTATTTTTGCTACAAGGTTAACCGACACAGACCGTACCACCAAGAAACAACGTAATATTGTCATTAAATCATTTTAAAGATGAATAAGCAATATTTCCGATTTAACGACATCTGATTACTTTGGGTGTGTTCAAATTAAATAGCATGCAAATCTCTTTGCTTGCACTTTTAATTTGCGAATCATTCATTTTTGTAATGGATTTTCGGTGTCATTTAAAGTAGCTAAGTCTCTAACTCAGCATCATACTTTACAAAGTCGTCGATATTGAAAACACGAATTATTTGTCAATCTAAATCAAAATTGATGTTTTGATCTTACCGGGAAAAGCATGGGCTTCTGATATCGAGTATTTAAGACAAAATAAACATGTAATGTTTGCAACAACGATACGGCTATCTTAGTTGTAACAAGGGACTCGAAGAACGAGGCTAGACATATTCCACCGGTGATGTCAAACGGTGACCTCATATTCTTAGCGGGAGAGTATGTGCAATACATACTATCGGTGTAGACAGGAATAACCATACGCTAAAGATTGCCATTCGATTGAGACTTCTGACGTATTTCCCAAATATTAGAGATTTCGCTCCTTTAATTAAGTACGCTAGGGCTTGGATATTCTTTAATTGTTTGAGTTTAATTGTGTGAATGTATATGCTATTATTTAGAATTAAGTAAAATATTTCCTTGGTCATAATCATGATAACGCCACTTTAAAATTACCTCAACTAATAGTAACCTAGAAATCAAATAATATCTGTATTTATTTGCTACTTGACCATAGGTTGTAAATCTGATGAGTTTATTTAGCACCGGGTGTTAATGACGTAAATAGGAAAAGAATAGGTCATTAAAGATATATGAAAATTACTCGCCAAATGCCCATACGATCATCAACTGTTTTTTGTTTTAAATATGCATTTCCACAAGAAAGGAAAACCAACTTTTCTATCAATAGTACAGCAGCCAATTTTGAAGCAGTAAACCAGATAGATATTTGTATTTTTACCAGAGCTGTGGGGAGGGGCTTTTACATCAACGTAGAAGTTCGATATTCGACCCATTATCTCAATAATAGAACTACTTAGGGATCAAAAGTGTAGAAATTGCGAACCGCCCATGGCTCTAATGTGCGGATAATGGGAGAGAAGCGCATAAATCGCACGCGAAAAGCGTTCGATTGTGTTATTGTATTCATTAAAATAGCCAATTATGTTCTGCATGGTTTAAATCCGTATTCTCGAACGTGGGGTTCGTAAAAAAACTTTGGCGGTTTGGGGGTTGGGGGAGCCTGTGAAAAAATGTCCGAGTAAAGTCGCGTCTGAAAATTTCGTACTGCGTTATAGTCAATCTGTTTCACAGAGAATTACGAGTCTTCTAATATCTCTGTAAAAGATGACTGCCTTTAACACGTGCCGTCACAGCACGCGGCGCTACTTTTATTTATTTTTCTAATACATCAAAAAAATGTTTTAGAATTTAATTTGTCGGTGAAAAAAAGTTAATATTTGAGACTCATTAAGTCGCATTGATGTCATACTTATCAGTGATTGTAGCGGCCTACCGAATATTCACTTCTGATCAGTGTGCGGGTTTCGAATATTTCTGCCTTGCTTAGGCCCAGTTTTTCGCATCTCATATGGTTGAGGTGATTAAGCGATGGGGGTGAATATAATAATAGTCTGTATGCTGTTGTTAAATTTACTGTTCAATGCACCCATGAAATATATATTTTAGGTACGAATACCATTGGCCACAAAATTGATTCAGGACGATATGAATTCTTGCGTGCGAGAGATCCAGCTCCTATACTAGTACCTCATTGGAAGTTAAAATATATGTAAATAAGGACATGCAAATTAAAGTAGCTAAGTCTCTAACTCAATAGGCATATTCCACAAGTAATGTCAAACGGTGACACTATATTCTTATCTGGAGAGCATGCCCAATAAATACTATCGGCGTAGACTGGAATAACCAGACGCTAGAGATTGAAATTCAATTGAGAATACTGGCCTATTTCGCCTAACCTAACTGATTAGAAATTACAGTAAAAACAGAAACGATTGAATGTAAATCAATTTATATACATTCATATTACATTATTGTATGCGTTGCGACCCATTTGTGTCAATTTCTAGGTCCCAAATATTAACGCCTTGGCTCCTTTAACATCAGTTGGAAAATTATGGAAAATAAATACAAAGATCACAAACAAAACCATGTCCTATTATTATTATTATTATTTTAATATCAAAATTGTGAGATAGACAAGGAATATTACTTTGCTAGAATGTCTTTAAATTAGGAAGGACTTAGACACTCGATCAAACACCTAGCAGCAAGAGGAAAGGTTAAATCAGATTGGTTCGGAAGACGAGTAAATAACTGAAACTCGTAGAATCCTCAGCAAGGCAGTCTCCAGAATCTTTTATTTCTTTGAGGCTGTGGATAAGTTTTGTAGTCAGCGACAACCCAGGTTCAGTTTCAATTGGTATCCTGATTGTTCCGGTCTTGCTTACGTAAAGCCCTCCACATCTCATAGACTCTGCTAGACCGCGGACCTGGGGATCATTTGCTCCATATGACATGTTGATATTTGGATAAGGATTTGTATTTTGGTCTGCGTCAGTAACATCCAGGACAACGTCTGCTATTCCTGGAAGTTGTTTCCCCGTTGGACATGCTCCCGAACATGGTGGTCGAACAGATACCATGAACTTTCCTTTAGAGATTTGTTGTACAAAAAGGAAACCACCTAGTTGGGAATTCGAATTTTGCTCTTGAAGAACGGCCTTTACCTTTACCTGTGTCAGACGTTTCGCCTGAATGATAATTCAGTTTTGCGAAAACATTTAGTACTGATAGATCTGGTTTTGTATTCACTTCCCATTCTAAGCCAGAACAATATTTTATTATACTCGTGTTAAATTGGTCAAGCGATTGTCTTCTTTGGGTACATGTAATTAAAAGGTACTCTGGTTGGTCAGCATTAACCAAATATTGTTGTGTACATGTATATTGTCTTGTTATATTTTCATATTTTATATATTGCTTGATAATGACTAGAGAAGCCTAGTCGAAACGTCGCTCAGTAATAAGCAGTAATTGTATTCCATAGGGCCCAGTTCAATTACTAAATGCCACTGAAACAATTATGATAACCCAGGTTCAGAATTACTAACAATATTCGTTTGGCTCATGGATCCTATCGCTATTGTTTCTATACTGATCTATTCCGCTGTTTACAAGTTTTGTGTTCTTATAGATTCGATAGTGCATTTTCTTAAAAGAATTTTGCATGAACGCTTTTAAATTGCATTTAAAAGCATAAGAAGTATTACCTTATAGTGTAACAGACCCAGATGTATATAGCTCTGACAGTATCTATATTTGTTTTACATGGTTCTATTAAATATTTTGCAAGGTCATGTGCCCTATACGAAATATCGTTGGTTCCTGAAATATATCGAACACACAACTACATAAAGCAATACAATGTCAATAGTTAAACATACATTATGCAAGAGTTAAATCTGCCTATTGCAGGTCTTTCTTTAGACCTTAAATTTTATAATAAACTATTAATTAGACATTGATTAATATCTGATGAGTCCGATTTTCAACAGATTTGAATGTGATGCCCGGTTCAACGGCCGTTGTTGATTTACCGTAAAAATGGATAATCGAGACTTTGTTTATTATCGTAACTAGGATAACAATGACAACCGAGGCTACAGTGTTATTAAAAGGATGTTTTCTTGACTCAAAGTGAAGTAATCTTGACTAATATTTTTAGCATATTCCCTTTACATTATCTATTTTTTAATTAGTATAGCGAGAACTGTCAGTTCCATTTTTAAAAAAAATCAAATGTAATTGTAAGAGCTGGAATTACTGTTTTTCTTTTAGGACATACAATATATTAATTTATGCAATTTTTTCATTCATCTGAACAAATCGATCTGACTGCTAATATTTTCTTCTGCTTGCTTTGTGATTTATTCCCCAAACTAATGGTGTGAAATTAGTAAATTGTGCTCACAAAACGCTTAATGTCGGCGTACAACAATTTAAAATATAGTATTCCTATATAAAATATAATATATTATTAAGCTTATTATGTGCCACTTCATGGTTGTCAGAAAGTGCGTTCGTTCTCTGTATTTGGATTGCGTTATTGTGCAACGTCGGGTATTTCATTAATCTATACAATTATTTTGTTGAAAGTGGCAAAATTCTATTCGTGAACAACGGTCTGTTTTATTAAACGTGATTTGTAATGAGTTTACCATAGAAAATTCCACGATTAAATCTCGGGTGCATAAAAGGTTTATTAAGTCATTACCATCATGTAAAAATAACTATATGCGCATAGGCTTTAAACACAGAAGTTCATTGAATCATCGTGCTGTAACGATATCATTTTTATAATTACGCATATATATTCTGTATACTCAAATGTTGTATTAAAAAATAATCCTTTGTCATAAATAGCTACGATATAATGAATATTCAAATATCAGTCGTTACTTTATAAAGTTCATAATTGGTCAAGCCAAAACGAACAAGTCGTTACTTTATAAAGTTCATAATTGGTCAAGCCAAAACGAACAAGGTGTTGAGTTAAATGAAATGTCCCGTATTGCAGTGGGGGATACAGGTGGATGCCCTAGCCCTAAAATGGGGTAGAGGGGGGATAGTAACTTATAGACAGAATATGAAAGAAAACTGAATATTGATAGAGTTCGACTCCTCATGACAGCAATGCTTACCACCGAATTTAAAAAGAACCTGTTGAAACCTCTAGCTTCTATTGCGGTTTTCGACAAAGGGGCACTCTGATATGGAAGGTCGCAGAACGCTGAATATCGATAGTGTTTGTCCTCTCACGCGAAATTTAATAAGAATCCGATAAAAACCATGACATATCGCGTTGACAAGGGTTTTGGCAAAGATGGGTAACTCCAGAGCAGAAAGCTGGGGAACCCTAGATATCAAGAATGTTCATCCTCTCATGACCTGGATGTTTTGACTAATAATAGATAATTTACAGACAGGGATTTCCCAAATAACCAAGACGTGATTACGAAATCTAGTCAATTATAGATACATGGAAAACTAGATAGAGCTGACATTTCTCACTATAATAGTTAAATAACAGATAATGTAACGGGAATATTCTGAAAATTGCAATAAAATTTCTTCACTCTAAGCCGAGAAATACTCATTCTAAAACCTTATAGCCTCGATTGTCATTGTCACCGTTGTGACGAAAATAAAAAAGTTTCGGTTATCCATTTTTGCGTTTTACCATCAATGGCTGCTGAACGGTAGATTGGATTTAAATTTCTTCACTCTAAGCCGAGAAATGATCATTCTAAAAATCTTATAGCCTCGATTGTCATTTTTACCGTTGTGACGAAAATTCAAAAAGTCTCGATTATCCATTTTTGTGTTTAATCATCAATGGCTGTTGAACGGTAGATCGGATTCAAATCTAATGAAAATCGGAAGCATCAGATGGCACCGAGAGTTGATTATTGTCTTGTAATGTTAATAATTAATGTCTAATCGATAGTCTATATAACATTTCAGGCCTAAAGAAAGACCTGCAATCGGCAGATTTAGCTTTTGCATAAGTCTGCTTATCTGCTTTTGTTCTATAATCTGTAAGTAGTCATCACGGCATGGCAAATCATTAAATATCCAGTTGTTTACCTTTCTTCTAACTTGGTCGCACCTTCCTCATAGGATCAATCTATGCTATTCCGATAAGGTCGATTGAATAATATTTCATACCAAAAATTATACTTGAATATTAAAAAAAAAATCTGTCAATATTTAACTTGTTTGGGCTTGATCTGGAATTTCTTAGGAAGTAAGATTATTTTACGTATCCCTTAAAAGACATATCTGAGAGTTACGAAATTTAAATATCTTTGTTTCAAATCGTGCAGCAAAATAGTAGGTAACTTCTTTGGTAACTTTATATAAAATACATTATTCTCGGCAACCTCAGAAACAATTTAATTCACAGAAACTCTAAAATGGACTATCAGCGACGCGATACAAAAAACGTTTTTTAACCTCACCCCAGCCCCCATGCCCCCTCCTATCAATCCCTGACTTGGTCTTCATGGGACTGAAATATTTATTTAATAATTATTCTATATAGAATAATTTACACAGATCAAGTGAGTCGTTCACGTTTTTTTTATTGATCTATATAATTGCTATTTATGTGTTATTAATTTCAATACCATTTATTAATTCTCCCAACTGATTGTTATTAGATTAGGTAACCACTATATTTAACAACAGTATATTTTGATAGAACTATTATATATTTATGTAGCACCCTTTTTATCATTCGGATTAACCCATTTATTTAGAATAGTTTTACATGTTTATTATACAGTCAATAATAAGCTTTATTGACATGTAAACGTTGTGCTGTTTAACCAGCTGTGTAGGATATGTAGTCCTTATTGAATCCATGTGGTAGTCTTAGTATGTGTTTTCCAGGAGCGGATCTACTATAAAACTAATGAAGCATAAGCTTCGGGGCCCATAATTCCGCGGAGCGTCCAATACAATTTTAAGCCACATCGCTCGAAATGTTTAGGTTTCCTGTACTTATAGGGATGTTACTACAAAGAATAATGTGGATGTTTAGCCCACATCACTTAAAATGTTTTCCGTTACTACATAAATTGGGGATGTTTTGTGACCTCCAGCTACTTACTGGCTGGACTGCTACTCCATCGAATATGGCCGTTACTACATAGAATAGGGATGTTTATAATTTATAAGAGTCTACTGTACTGGCGGGGCAGTTACACCGCCCAATAGGGATGTTTATATGGAACCACTACTGCATACTGGGTCTACAGCTACCGTACCAATCTGTTTCACAGAGTATTACGAAAATCTTCTAATATCTCTATAAAAGATGACTTCCTTCAACACATGACCTCATATCACGCCACGTCAATCATTGGTTCAATGGCGGGGGCATTGTTTACATAAGACGTTAAACCTACTGATCCGAGGAGAATGGCGCCTTTTACTCATTTTAATACCCATTTACACTAAAATGGGAAATAATTTTTACCTACAAATACTTCAAATGTCTTTATTTATTTTTCTAATACATAAAAAAAATGTTTCAGAATTTAATTTGTCAGAGGAAAAAAGTTAATATCTTTGGCTCATTAAGTCACATCGATGTCATCCTTATCAGTGATTGTCGCGGCCTAGCGAATATTCACTGCCGTACTGGTGAGACCGTTACTACACAGAATGGAGATGTTTATGGACCAACGCCAAACAGGGTCACAGTTGTTCTAGTAATATCCCACGTAGAATCAGGATTTCATAATTTTCCTATTTATACTGAACATGTCAGAATGCGTGACACGTTTAACAAATCAGTACCTGATTGTGTTCTACTTTTTACTCCATCAATCACACGTGTACACAAACAACACTGCATTATATAGTTTAAAACCAAAATATTTTATTTTGTCAAAAAATAAGATATATATATATATATATACACGTATCACCAGTATTTACATGATTAGATCAGCATAGGTAAATAAAACTATAGTACAAATATATTCATCAAATAGTTGATATTTGCTTCATACCAATCCCATAACCATTAGGTATTATCATTGATTGCATGTATTCGGATATACCCCTTGTCAGTGGCAATCCACATCAACAAACCTTTTGTCTTCATAATAAATCGACCCAATCATGTAAACTTATTGAAAAGGTGTTTCTTCGCGCCGTTTACTGGTTACTAATAATAGCATACGAAACTTACGCTGTTCGTCTACAGCACCCCTTAAGAACAGACACAATGCTAATTGGCCGACATTTATTCCGCTTTCATTTTTAATTTTTAATTGAAAATGTTTATTTTGTCCTTATGTATATGAAAGATGTAAAACATATTAGAGCCGCATAATATTACAGGACCTACTCTTGTTTTTCAATATGGCGGCCATTCAGGACAGAGGTCTATTTTCAAAGTAGCTAATTCTATGTGTGCAGACCGGTTGTTAGGCCTACAGTTGGATACCAGTCGCTCTAATAGTATGTACAGGAGGACAGAAATATACACATAATAATTAGAAACACGTGGACAAGACAAACATTTGACAAATCCGTGTCTGGTATTCTTATTTAAAAGTTCACATATTCACAGGACTTTTTTGTAGTGGGGACTCTTTTGTCCATCGGAATATCCATCTATATAAGCAAACCCCAAGATTGCGGCCTCATAAAAGCCAAAAATGTATAATTTTGTTTAAAACAAGAATCCCTAAAACACAATATTGAAATACTTCAAGAATGCAAACGCTAATTATTTACATGCAAGCAACGACAAAGAAAGGATATGCTCCATTATCCTAAACAGACAGAATTACCAACAGCTATATGATCTAAATCCTAATATGTGCAACCATGTTGTTTTCCCCCACTTATTCTGCATATTATATATAGCTAATATGAAAATATTACTATTGAATTCTCTTCATCTGGCTGGGAGTCGCGATGAGTTGAGCTCCCCAATTTATTAAGCATTCTACCAAACAATAGGTATCCAAGATCCATTACTTTAGTGTTACCATTTTCCGGGGATAAAACTTGTAATGGTTGTTCAGTTGGTATCACTTCTGGGCGTAATTCGTATTCGGAATTCCTCTGGTATTTAGAGATCCTGGTCATCTCCGAAGCAAGATCTTCGAATCTTAAATACGAAACTAATGTATTCAACATCAGAAGAACAACCGTAAATAGCAGAAACAGTTGAAGAATCTGAAAGTTTCGTTTTAGCCTTTTGATTGCATTCTGACTTTTAACAAGTTGAATATCGGTGTGATAAATCGGTAAGATAGTAGTTGGTGACTTTTCATCAGAACTCATGTTAGCTGCAATAGACAGAACGTACTATAGATTAGATCAAATAAAAACTTTTACAAATAGCTAACATAATCTAAAACAACAATTATGTGGTTCGTACATAATCCTGACAACCCACAAACACTTGAAAGATAGACAATGATGTTCAAAGTTCCAATAATCTAATATCTAACGCAATTATGTATTATTTTCTTTTTTTATATTAATTGACAATGTGACACTATGGGGTAGATGTGTGACTATCCTGGTCACGGACTCCAAATAATAGATAGGCTGTGACACTTTCGATGTGACACTTTCTTCTATGCGTTTCTTCGACTTCACGTTGTGGGATCAATAAATTATTTCAATCATCAATTAACTGACTCTGGAACACCGTTTATGTTGTTACTAAGTTTATATAATTAAACAAATACAGCAAACTACAAAGTTATGATAGTACTTTTCGAGTTATTAAATTATCCACGGTCTGAGTTTAATATCCTTTCTGACTCAGACCTAACGGCCTAAACGTGGCAATAGCCACGTACTTCTTGCTAGTTCTACATAAGGTTCGCGCTAAGATGATGTGTTCACCCTAGCCTCTAAGCCGAGGAGGCTATGGGTATGGTCCCCTGAGCTCTGAATGATGGTCTTCCCTGGTCTCTCATGTTATCTGAAGTGAAATTAAACTCGCTCTTTCTTATATAGAAATTGTAAATGCTTTAGCTATTAGGGCGGGACAATTACCATTTTTGGGTAAGTGTTTTGTATAGGCACCGTTTTACGTCAACACTATTCTAGTTAATTGTACTAATCCGTGCACATGATCATGGACTATAGTACCCTACTTCCAGCAATGGATACTGACATCGGTGAGTTAGTCTAAGATAGTAGTAGAATAATGCAAGCTACTTCATTACCCTAGTTTTCGTCACACGTCATGTAGGTAACGAATTTCTATATTAAACAGAACAACCTTCTTAAAGATAAAATAAACCTTATAGTATTACAACAATCGACATGAATATTTAATATACCAAGAACGTGCTTCTGGATTTGTAGTAATGACGCATTCTCTCCGAAAAATCAAGCGCCCCGTAAAGGTTTTACTCTCTGTACTCAATATTTTAAACACTGAAAAGCGACCTTCCGAGTATTAGACTAAATGTTTTGTTAATTTTAATGGAAAACAGACATTGCCCCGGCCCTACTTTTGTACATTTATATAAATTGAAGCTCACACGATAACAAAATCATCTTTATGCTTTTTGTTATTTTTTATGTACATCTTTGTATTATTTCTGATTTAGCCATTTAATGCATGCACTTTGTGTTGCTTAAGGTATGATATACAGTTAGTGTAAAAATCTCTATAAAACAAAACAAGCTAATACAAACAGAGTGCTGCCAAAATGTAGATCAAGGACGTTCGATAGAAACTGTTTAAAGATTTAATAAACACGTTTTAAATACCATGTACAGTGACGTATCTATACGGTGTGAGTAAGACCGTTCTCCTGCGTAATGCCAGTTTACCACTGTCGTGCGATGCGTTACGATAGGATTGTCCCGACTAAATCTACGACCTGCTACGTGCAGATACGTTCAGATACGTTTCGATACGGTCAACACGACTGCTACCTCAATATATACTAAACAACAAAAAAAACCCCCAAAAAAACGTCAGTACGATTTCAAAATCAGAGAGTCACTTTAATCAAATCATTCTACAAAACGACTTACTAAATGGATCAAAGCAATTTTTTTGTGAACAGTATGTTGACACATTAGTGATTAATTCATCACAATTCCAAGACATTACGAGAAGGTTTAGAGTCTGTACACAGTCGAGAAGTTTAGAGTCTGTACACAGTCTACACATCAGTATCTGTTTTGTCTACCGCGAGTGTCAATAACAGCAGCACAGCGTCTGTACATGGAGTGGACCAGACGATTGATGCACGCCATTGGCACCTGGAACCATACTCTCAGAAAAGCCTGGCGCAATCCATCGGCTGTATTTGGTCTAGGTACGACGTTATTAAATCTCCTCTGAATTTCATCCCAAAGATGTTCAATCGGGTTATAGTCCGGACTATGGGCTGGCGAGTCCATAAAGTCGACACCGTTTTGCTGTAGAAAGTCCCGGGTAACTCTGGCTGTGTGGGCACGGGCGTTGTCATGCTGGAAAACGTTGTTTCGATGACGTGCGAAATGTGGTATGACGTGGGGTCCGAGAGCTGGATCGATGTAGCGCACTCCCCACGAGTCTCGTTCCATGACACATTAGTCAGAATAACGCTGGCCACGTTGTCGCCATATTCTGGTCCTGCCATCTGAAGTTTATACGCAACACCGACTCTCAGCTGTGAACAGAACAGTTCTCCATTGCCTGTGTCGGCAATTCTGATGTTCTTGGGCAAAATGTAGACGTTCACGTCGATGGCGAGGGGTGAGAATAGGTCCACGGTAAGGTCTACGGCAATGAATGTACTCTCTGGTGAGACGTCGGCGCACTGTATCGGTACTGATGGGTCTTCCGTGTGTTCTCACTGTCTGACGTGCTGTCTCAGATACCTGTGTGAAGGGAATCTGCACGTGCTGTCACACAACATGGCGGTCTTGTCGCCTTGTAGTAACCCCTGGTCTACCAGTTCGGGGGAGATCATCCGTGGTGTTGGTGGCCCGAAAGCGTTGCTGAAGCATGTAGATGGTCCGCACATTGACCTGGAAGTGATTGGCAACGGCTTGGGCAGTGTGGTCAGCGTCGAGTCTTCCAAGCGCCTGGTTCCTCTGAGCTGTCGTGAGTCGTGGAATGTTGCTGACATTGTAGTTTGAATGATTAGGTGTGGGGGTGCATTTTATAGGGCTGGTCCCGGTGAAAAGCACGTGCAACATGATTTACAAGAAAATCATGGAGAACACATTACCATCTCAGAAGTCAGGTTGCGTTTTTGAGAACATTTCCTGGGTTCAGTTCTGTGTTTGGGAAGGGGCCTTATTGCTCAATTAAAGTCGGAGATGTGGTCACAAATATACAATAAAAACATTTGGCAAGCTTTATACAATGCGTCTATTCAGAGTAACATACCAACCTGGCGTTTCTTTTGCTGCTTAGTATATGATAAGACTTGATAGGATTAGGATCACCAAGATTACTCCACGATTAAAATCACGATTTCAATCATAGCACGAATCGTGATAGTGGGATTGAAATTGTGACTTTAATCGTGGAGTAATCGTGGTGATCCTATCAGGTTCTATCATATATTGTGGTCAGTCGTAGCAATCGTGTTGATCGCATGGAAACGTATCCGAACGTATCAGCACGCACCAGACCGTGGACTCAATAGGGACAATCCTATCGTAACGCATCGCACGACAGTGGGAACCTAGCACAAGCTAATGCGGGCCTCATACTGTCTCGAAATTGACACTAGGTGGGCAGACGAATATGGAATTTTTAACTTTTGAAAATTTCATTCAAATTAGTTTATTTTGAGCGGAGTTATCAATAGTTGTAGTTTTGAAGAGATGTATCCATTGATCGTAACCACCGTACTGGCCATTCGAGTCTTAGCCTAGCTTCTCCATTTTTAAATTACATCATTAAATGGCCGAACCGTTCTTATCTACTTAAATTTCGGAGCCATCCAATGGCATCGAAAGTTTTGTCATGTTAATAAATGTCTTATTAATAAATTATATAATAGTTAAGCACAAAGAACGACCTGCAATAGGCAGATTTATCTCTTACATAATGCCTGTACTGTCAGATGTTTAGATAAGGGCGCAATTTCAATGCCGCCCACACTTGCACCAATGCTCGCGAAATTTAAAATATATCGAGTGTGTCTCGCTTTAATCGTCTGGATCCGCCCCTGATTCATCATTTGTTAAAACCGATGTACTGTTAAATTATATTTAATCTCGCGAATATGCAAATGAAATAAGGTTTAACTTTCATGACATATTCTGCCTACCCTTCATCGAATTACAACTGTCAAGGGTACTAACAAGCCTTTTGACCCCAGATTAGAAACCCCAAATTATTGATAATGAAATAATCCCATCAGGTGTTTTATCTGTATATAGTGTAACAATCTAAACACCATAAACAATAGTGACTAATCATTTGATAACAAAATAATTTTAAAAGGGTCGTATCAAATAATTTAACTTACCCTAATATGTGATACTATAAGCTATATTATATTCCACAAATAAATATTTAGCTGAGAAAAATAGATTTTATATACAACAGCTGTTGTCATACACTTACACACCACAGCTGCGACAACTCACACAAAGTTTAATATATATAATATATAATGATGGCGGTGCAAAATCAATTTGAACAGTTTTTGGACGTACATGATTTTGGGGTTTGAGTACTTTTCATTGTGCGTGAAACTTCTATTTTCTGGTTGACTTTCGTTCTTTGTTGATACCACAGGGTCGACAATAGGGCCAACCGCGGTTCACCCACTTCGGGGCCCCAACAACAAAAATATCAATCGTGTAAAAAGCAGTAAATGTAGGCTTGGTCTGAGGAGTGGAGCCAATGAGCCCACTTCACGCCCATCCGGGGAAACATACCTAACTCTTTCCGACACGTCCAGTGCAAGTCCCTTAAAGATTAACTTCGTTCTAAAATAGGACTGGATGCTTGTGCATTTAGTAGGCTACGATTAGCCTCTCGGCACGACATATCACGCACAGTGGCGGATCTAGAAACTGTGAATCTGGGTGTGGGGTGGGTGTGGTGGGGAGGGGGCAAATCTAAGGAAAACATTTCAGACAGGGATATATGATATATACTCTTCAAAAAAAAAGTATTGATATTTTAATGCAAATACCTATGCAGGTTGTGATATGATAAATAGTCATGGACACTTGACATGCTTTGAGAGTATATTCACAAATGAAGAACTTATCGCCCCAACAGAACCACTGAGCTGCATGTGCGACACGCAATAGCGGCATACACGTGGGAGGGCGTGGGAGGGGTTCATTGTCAAATTTGACACTTCAAGGAAGGGTTGATGAAAACTGCCGCTTGCTGGTGTATCCTATCCATGTTTGCTTTCCTATCGGTTCTTGCATAAGATTTACTGTTTATTGTATCTTTGCTTTAGTGTGTTACCTTTAATTTGATCGGGAGGCGTGTTCGTCGACGTCAACGTCAACCGACAACACTGCAAGAACTGACCGTGGCACTGCGAGAGGTCAGATTGCCCCAAATCGTGATTGGACGGTTGATTAGGAGCATGCCACGATGAATTGCTGAATGTCTGAGGATTGGTGGAGCAATTACTCATTGTTAAGACAAAAATCAAAAACGTCCATTTTCACTTTTGACGGTGTATCTCTTTGCGAGTGAAATGGGGCCGTCAGATAAGCCGCCCATATGAACTGTTTATGTTCATGTGTAGGCAATTGGCCTGTTATTAACATACACTGGCTACCTCTAATAAAAACAGCAGTGTATTTCCACAGTTTTGTATTGTTTCTGAATATCCCCTTTGGGAGTGGACCTGGGGGTGGGGGTTACTTGGTCTCATGGGGAGGGGGGTAGCCACCCCCACCACCCTCTCTTAAATTCGCGCCTGATTACGCACCATATGTCGAGGACGTCATATCCAAATTCCTTGTGGCGAACAAACGGAGGTGCATACAAAGCTGTGTATCGTGTGTATACCAACACTGCAACTGGCGACCTATTGGGTGAATTGTCATTAGAAAAGTCTGCAGGGATTCGACATCGGTATGGGAATTATGAGTTAAAGTTTTCATGTGAATATGATCATCTAGAATTCCGTGTTATTATGAAAGGAATTGTTTGAATGTTGCCAAGTAAAGTTCAAAATGACCGGTGGACCATAAACAACAACCTTCCACTCTGTTAAAGGGTTACTTACATTTCTTACAATCCCCTCTGTTATTTCTTTTCATTCACCAGTAAAGGACTGGTCGCATCCGTAAATGTGGGATGTGATGGGGGCCCCGCCAGGTCATTCCGGTCTCTATTGGTGACTCGAACCAGTTTCCTTCTATTAGAATAATACTAAAAGATTTGTCGTCATCTAGAGTTCAAAGAAGTTGGCTGCTGGTTTCTGGACACTATCTGGTCTCTAAAGATTTGTTTGGGCATCTCGAGTATTATTGTCCGAAGATACACTAGATATGGTCTATCTGGTGTTTTGTTGGAAGGGCAAGATTATTAGACCTTGTCTAGTGCAGGGACGTTGTGCAGTAGCGGATCTAGAAGCATGTGAATATTAGGACGGATACAAATCTAGGCCGCCATCCACAATCCCAGCCGGAATGACTGTCAACAAATTACTGCAGCTATAACACTGTCTGAAGCGCCCCGGTAGAACATAGATCGCATTGCCTATACATGTATATATATAATATAGTTGTCCGCCGATCATTATCTCGCCGAAAGCGAAAAAACTTCAGATAGCAACGTATAATATGTAATTAAGCTTTTAATTTTTTGAGTCTGGGGCTAAATTTCCTGGCATTTGAGTTCATTGATGGGAGCAAATTCTTGTGAACGAGAGGATAAGAAATGGTGCAGAATCTCGGGGCCTGCATGTTAATTCCGCAATTCCGATTGTTTCGTGAGAAGATTTGTACAGTCTGTTGCCCCACTAGCCACTCATTAGTGCTACTACTAACAGGGGGATTCACTATAACCGTGAATTGGATAGTGATGAGAGAGTATAAGACCACAGATCAGGAGTGGAAGAATGGTGATATAATGGAATCAAGTGCCGAAGGCGCTAAAAAATTTCAGACAGCTATTTATATAATATTTATGTAAAGTAACTGAGCTTTTAGCTTTCAGATAATATGTAATTTTGGAACTGGGTCTGAGAGGAATTTCTCCACGGAGGAGCTGACCTGGTCCCCTCTAAATCCGCGCCTGACGTTGTGGCGATGTTGTCTGATGTATATGCGGGTTGGTGGAGGCAAACGACTATTCTTTCTTTTTTAAAGAATCAATGAGAATGTTGGGTGGTGACCCAGTGCCAGTAATCAAAGTTTGGTGTGTGATAGTAAGGATAAGGTAGGCTACGGAGTAAAAATGTAGATGGATGATTTCGTTCTCTAGTTTTCTGGTAGACAATAACTATTTAAATGAGAATTTCGTCATTTTTAAGAGTATGTCCTGAATGGTAGCCATCAAAACGTAAACAAACACACCCGTGTCTTCCTTAAAACCTATTTAACGATTCCAACAAATCCCCTTTAACACGTATACACGTTTTTTTACATGAAAAGACCATTGGAAATATTTTGAACTTAGGCGAGGTCTTTGTGATTGTGAAAAATCGCACTGTTTTTGAGAAGATCGTACTGATAAACAAAAAATAGCTCTGTGCCGTATCACGTTGTAAATTGTTGATGTTCTAAACTGATAGAGTATAATTATAAACTTATAAGTGGTTTTGAAAATTTTTAATTTATGCCCTTGTCATCGAACGTGATAATATAAGATAAGATATTATCAATCTGATTAAAAAAACAGACCTACATTTCGTTTCGTTTTTTTATACTTTCGATGGCCTACACTACATGAAGATCTGACAAGTTGTACTTGAAGGTCGTGTCAGGGGTCTTACGAGCGGCTTTTGATCCTAGCTATGACGTCAGACTGATTAATCAATCAACGTTGACGTTTCTAGTGGTTTTCCCACAGTTCCGTGCATGACACTCAAAGAAGTCGTCGTAACAGACCGTTTCATTGGCTTATCCTTCACTTCAACCAAAACGCCGGTAATATAACAACTCTTCCAGATCCTAGTGTAGTAAAGACAAGTAAAACGAAATTTTTTTGAACTATATAAACCGAAATAGGCAATCTGTTTCACAGAGTATTACGAACAGAGTGGGATCAGTATGCGAAATAGGATTCGTGTTTTAATCAGATTGAGATTTTATTGTACCGAAACATCCACTGGGCTACTTTTAAAATCCACGTCACTCCATGAAACACATACAAATATTTCCAAGGTAGATCTAATTTTATTTTTGTATAATTACAACTCATTTTCTGTTTTTTATGTGCTTTATAAAAATCAGCCGTTCTGCTAAAAGGGAGGCAACTACAATTTTACACCTTTAGATTATTGATTTTCATGTAAGATATAACATCGTCGTTATACTAAAACAAGATGTTTCGTATCATAACAGAGTAAAGCAATGTGTTTATAAAGAGAATCAGTCCAAATTAACACAAAACCGAAAATCTAACCCCCAATTTTATCGTTTCGTATTTCATTTAAATGGAAATTTCGGTCATAAAATTCGTGAAATTGTATCACACCAATGACCTAATTGACCTCAACATTCCAATATGGCTACCGAAGTCACTGTGATCTGACAGCTTCTACGACTTTCAATGAAATAAAAGCTATTTGTTATGAAAATAATTGTTTGACTGGGATAATTTCATTCTTAGGTAAATAAAGCAATGCTTTTATCTGATAAATAACTTATTTTGTGTGTTAAAAGTTACATTCCGATGAGACGACGGTTGCTGTGGTCTGTGTGAGTGACTGTGTTACTAGCCTAGTGTCTTCAATCAATGTGTCGCAATTCGCCTCTTTGTTGATTGAGAATGAGATAATGATCTTCGTCATTGTTGATTTTGACTGTTCATTTGTCTGCGTGTTATTCACAACACAATTTCATTGTTATATCATGTCATAATGATATAAATTGTATTAGGTATGGTATATACATCTAGAAAGAGTGAATTTTTTTTATTCCTATTTTGAATTTATAAATATTATTACTACAGTTTTTGAGTTGAAACAGTGCTGTGATTTTCTTTAATTATTCATTATATAATTTGATGGAAAATGTTTATCTGTATTTAGTCTACATCTATACCGGTATCTGTTTTAGTACCTCCATCTATAGTGTTATAATTTGTTGTTTGAACTCTGAAATTTATATACCAGACATGTATCCTATGAATGACTCTAAATCTGTCTGGTAGATTTTTGAAAAAATCCTGTTTTTATGATCTACGAGTGTTCCCCAAAAATGTATAGGCCCTCTTTTGATTTCGTGAAATAGAGATCTAAGCATGCATGTCAGACTTACAGTTACATGTAGTACATCATGTAATGTAGATTGCACAAGTGACAATACCCGAAATCAATCACTAATCTGTGTTCCATGTTCAGGTTTAAAAAGAATTGTGCTAGGTGTGAATTGAATGTACGCATGACCAAATGTTATCAGAATTCACAAGGATTAACCACAAATAGGTTTATGGTATTAAATGTACATGTAATAGTGTAAATATAGGCCTATATTATTGAGTTTCTGTTTCATACACAAGAATTAGACTACATGTATATGTATGGTTGGGTGTCTTGATTTGACTTCATAATTTGGTTTGGCAGGGTGGCCTACTGTGCCGTGTGTCCTGTTTACATGTAGAGGTACATGCGTACAGTGTATGATTTTTGAAAACAAGGAACTCAATAGTGAATGCAGTATACATGTACAATGTACATGTATTGCCATTGCTGGTAGTTAAAGGGGAAGACCAACGATTTTCAATAAGGTTTCCATAAATAATAAATATATATTTAGAAATAATCCCTCCTATAACATATGCAACCTGTTCGTTGGCAACCTATTCAGAATGAGAGCGCACCCCTTTAATATGATTGTGCCAACTTTTACTAATAATATTACGAAAGCTTATTTAATCAGCTTTCGGAATATATTTAGTTGGATGTCCAGAATTTTGTAAGATAATGCGAAATTACATCTCTATTCTGAGCTAAAGGAATGGATAAATGATAATATATTCTACTTTCATTTGATAGACGTTACGTTGGATTTTATTGGTTGATAAAAATAGATGAGTTTGGGCGACTGTTGAATTTATTCTGAATAGGTTGCCAACGAACAGGTTGCCAGCTGGATCGGTCGAATAGGTCGCTAGCCGAATAGGTCGCCAATTTGTGTTCGGTTAATATCTGTCACGTGCCAGCTATCACGTGATGTAAACAATTAGCCATGTGGCTTAAATTGTGTCACAGTGTCCAGTTTAGAAACTTAATTTACACAAACGCATTGTATATTATACCTTCAAAACACCGTAAGTTCTTCTTCTTAATATCCTAATAAAGATTACCTTTCATCAGATTTTCTGCCAAACGGCGAAACGATCACAAAATACAGCGCTAAACTTACTCCAAATTTGTATGTTTACTATAGTGACCAGTGAGTGTGTCGAACCAACTACGTCACTTCCGGTATTAATAAAAATTAATTTCTCGCTTACAAATTATTGTCCCCCGCCTTTCGAAGAAAGCAGGGGACTATTAAAATGGGTTCGTCCGTCTGTCTGTCTGTCCGTCTGTCTGTCCGTCACACTTTTTGGGACACAATAACTCTCTTCCTAATTGAGCTAGAATGTTCAAACTTGGTGTATGTGTTTATTAGGTCAATGCCTTGATGGAGTTCGAAGATGAGCATTTTCCGCTTAGGGTAAGCAGAGATAAGCAATTTGATTGGTTGATGCTTTGGGACACGACAACTCTCTTCCTAATTGGGCTAGAATGTTCAAACTTGGTGTATGTGTTGATTAGGTCAATGCCTTGATGGAGTTCGAAGATGAGCATTTTCCGCTTAGGGTAAGCAGAGATAAGCAATTTGATTGGTTGATGCTTTGGGACACGATAACTTTTAATTGAGCTAGAATGTTCAAACTTGGTGTATGTGTTTATTAGGTCAATGCCTTGATGGAGTTCGAAGATGAGCATTTTCCGCTTAGGGTAAGCAGAGATAAGCAATTTGATTGGTTGATACTTTGGGGCACGATAACTCTCTTCCTAATTGAGCTAGAATGTTCAAACTTGGTGTATGTGTTGATTAGGTCAATGCCTTGATGGAGTTCGAAGATGAGCATTTTCCGCTCAGGGTAAGCAGAGATAAGCAATTTGATTGGTTGATGCTTTGGGACACGATAACTTTAGTTCTAATTAAGTGAGATTGATGAAACTTGGTGTATAGTTTCATTACAGTAATACCTTGACTAAGTTTGATAATGAGCATTTTCTGCTCAGGGTAAGCAGAGCGATACGCAATTTGATTGGTCGAGACTTTGGAAAACAATAACTCTCCTACTTTGATTGTTAGACTATAAGTAAAGATATACTGTTTGATTGTTCAATACTTTGTAAAAGATAATTTGTGATAAATTTATATGTGTCCTCTAATTATTTTCCTATTTCGGCGGGGGACATCAGCCTCACTGTTGGCTTGTTTTTTTCATGTTATAGGAGGGGTTATTTCTAAATATATATTTATTATTTATGGAAACCTTATTGAAAATCGTTGGTCTTCCCCTTTAAAATCCTACTCCTGTTATTGTATATCCATTCATTTTAATAATCAAATTCAACAACTATTGATTTAATTTGGTCTCATTTATGCTACATATAAGCTTACTTGGTATACCGTAATACTATTTATATCAAATTATCATTGATAAAATAATAAGCTTTTCATAATATCTATATGTTAAATTATGCAATCAGCTTACATGTACATGTATGTTGGTGTGTTTGTTTATAAATGTCAGTCAGCATTATTAATACGGTATTATTGTACATGTATTTAACATGTGATCGTGCATGTTTATTTTTTGTCTTTCAACATTTTTTGTTTTTAGAGTTTTACAGGTATACGTCATGAAATGAAATGAAATGGGGTTTAACGTCCTACTGTTATGCTCCTAAACTTGGCTAATGAATACGGGCATACGCCATACAATGTGCTATGAGGGAAATTTTGCCCGGGCAGCGGCACTATGGCCTACTCTTATATCGAATTCCAACTGCCAAGGGATCTTTTACGTGCACGCCAATGTGTACATGGGACCTCAGTTTTTCGTCCCATCCGAACGACTAGACAGCTGTCCTTGTCCGACCCTCCGTCCAGTTGTAATTTTGCATGATGAAGGTTTCTATAAATACTAGTCATTTTACTGTACCAGTACTATATACGTGTATCTTTACAAATATTTGTGACTGTCGTTTGTTTGTCTGTCTGTCTGTTCAGGGTTAGCGGCTACACTAGGACTGTCCCAAGGCTGAAATTTGGTGTATATAGGTAGCTCAGACCGGGGAGTAACATAGGCCTGATGCCGATAGCCTACCACTTCTGGTTTCAGAGTTAAGCTACTTCTGGTTCATGATTAAACCTGTGTTATGCCGGGTCAACTGCTAGTAAATAATAAAGATAAATAATATATTCCTGATCATCCATTAAAGATTGAAATTCATCTTTCATAAATTACAATGAGTAATTACTAATGCTACAAATTACAATTGATTTGATATACATGTACCAGTAATTTACATACTGATGGTTTTAGTTACTTCAATAATTTTATCAACCCTTTATCATGAACATTTCTGGTGATAGCCATTCTGTCCGGCTCAGATTTTTCTTCTTATTTGTCTGACGTACATGTCCGGTAAGGCTACATGTACCAAACTGGTCTTCATTGGATCTTGATTTAATGCTAACCTAAGATCAGTGGAAGGCGTGATTAACAATAGAGAATCTTTTGTAATTAGGATCGGGGAATGCATATGAATATTCATTATCTAACTAGCTATAGTGTACAAACATGTTGAGACTGGCTGCAATTTATCACATTGGTCATTAACTTATAATAATAAAAAACATGTAGAGCACTGAAAGCTCAAATTCGTATGTACTTGTATGGCAGTGTACATTTGCAGGACTTGTCTTCACAATTATAATATGGAGGGAGTTTGATCAGGTACAACTAAAAAACTAATTATTTTCCAGCCTGCAAAACATGCAATGTTTAGGCCTAATTGTTTGTAAGCTTACAGTATCTATAATCTAATGTGTCTACACTATGTATAACTAAATTACTTAGAATGTACCCATTGAGTCCTCAACTTTTACATAATTTGACCAAATGACCTTGGTTGTTATAGTACATTTATGTACAATGTATAGATATTCGGACATTTTCATCTGGTCTCCAGTGAATCATGCTGGGCTATCCCAGTCATCTGTGGTAGTTAAGGTGTAACTGTTGATAAAGACACTGATCTTGTCAAATGATGAGAGGAGATGCGGTTTGATGTTGCCATTGGCAGTGGAAGCTTATCATGAAATTTTAATTTTAAAAGAAGCTAAAACCCTTTGCTTTAGGTAAAAATAAAGTGTTGAATTGGTTGATCCTTTTGACAGTGATGTTTGTTACAATTCTATTTGTTCTAAAATTTGTTGTCTGTCTGTTTGGTTTAACATCTACTTCCACAATAGTGTTATAGCAGTTTTAATTTTGTCTTTGACTGTTGACTGTAGAACACAATGTCATTATGTTAGCTCAACCTTCCCTCTATCTGTGGACATCAACACATTAAACTTAATTAAATCAACAAATTTTATTTTTCTTTACCAACTATTTAACTTTCTGAAGTTTATTTTTCGTCAAAAATTAGAGTGGTGTTACTGCCCATTACAAAATGTAAACACATGTTTCTAACATTGTAATACTTTATTTAGGTAAGTTAAGTGTATGGTACCGGTAGTCTTGCATGCTAAATATTGGATTGTTCTAGTTTTAGGTTGACTTGAATTATGTGCTGTATACTTTGTTCATATTATGGATATATATGTAGATGTTGGACCACAGTCTTAAATAATTCAGCTTGAAAACTATGATATTGTAACATGTACTGGTAAAGAATTTAAGATTTCTTTAGATTTAGACAAAGTTTTCATATCTAGATGTATGGATGTAGGCTACATGGTGTCACACATGTAACAGATTTTATTTTGTTTTTGTAAGTAGAGTTGGACAATATTCAAAATGGCTTACAAAAAGCCTGTCGTAGGAATAATTGAAATAATAACTTTTAAAGATCTGTATTTTATGGAACACATTTCTAGCCAGGGAAAATTTTCAGCAATATAGACTTGGATATCTTGTATTCAGACCTCGCTGTAAAAAGAGAGTGATCATCTACCCTCACCTAAACTGGCCCAAATGAGAAAAATAGGGGAGAAACTATCCACTTGTGTCTTGTGATACTTGATACTTGATATTGGCTAGCTAACTATACACATTGTACAGTTTGTATCTTGTGATACTATCCTTAATAAAACAAAATCTTAGGATCCTTTATCTTCCTTGGAATTTCTGATGGTAAGCTCAGATATTACATTTGGATAAAGCCTGTTATTGTTATTTGTTTGGAGAAAAAAATGTCAAAGTTATTTTATACATTGATGATATTGCATTATACATCATAGCTTTCAGTGGTTTTTGTTACATGTAGATTGAAACGTATAAATTTTGATTTTAATCAAAAGAACGTAAAAAGCAACTTGTAGAGCTTACGTAAATATGTTTTCATGTACAAATATTTTGTTTTTTGATGTTTCTTAGTTATTTTCCTTTCCCCTTGAGTAATTCACAAAAAAATATTTTCATCAAGAAACTTCATTTATTTCAGGTATATTTGTGACAAGACATACCACTGATGCCTGAAGATATATATTGTGATCAAAAAGTTGATTAATGTTGTATGTTCAAGATGAAAAGCAAGATGGTAACTCAAGCTAAACTACAATACTATAGACATAATTATTGTCTGGTTTGTATGACAGGTATATTAGGCTGTCGCTGGCATCGTTATAAACAATCAACTAGAGACAGTAGAAAGGTAAGTCGTCATACTAGTAATAATAGAGATACATCTCTGTAACCTGGGTACCATTTAATCTTGTGTATCTAGCACTAATTTCTATCATATTCGTTTAATTTAATGCTTACTGATTAATTTTGATAATGAATGTCCAATTTACAAAAAGTGTTTAATTTCTCCATCACTGTTCAAAAATTAATCATTATACATCAATAATCAATTTGGTTGTTTATCTTTTAACAGTGATTGAGAAATGAAATTCTTGTAAATTGGACATTCATTATCAAAATTAAACAGTCAGCTTTAAACTGGACACAAATACAAATTAGATGATTTTAGGTGATGTTAAATGATTTTTGAGAATTTTTAACAAAGATTTGATATTGAATGAATGTGAAAGAAATTAGTGCTAAATGCTCAAGATTAAATGATACCCAGGATACAGTGCATGTATCCTTAGTTACCACAATAGAATGAAAGGTGAAAATGGCAGCACAAGAATCCCAGAACACACATATTATAAATGATGATTACAGATTATTTCTAAAAATAATAATACAATAGTACATGCACCACACACAGTATTTCTAACGATAAATTTTTTTAATGTAAATGGAATTTACATATATATTCGATTTATTGAATTATTATCTAGTACTACAGTTGACCAATTTAAAAAACATAAATTTGAACATGAACCCAGTATATAGACATTACTGTATGAGGGTTCCATATTGCAATTTGTATGACACTTTACATAAATATACTCTTAAAAAAAAGTAGGGGATATTTTAATGTAAATACCTATGCAGGTTGTGATATGATAATAGTCATGGACACTTGACATGCTTTGAGAGTATATTCACAGATGAAGAACTTATCGCCTCAACAGAACCACTGAGCTGCACATGCGACACGCAATAGCGCCATACACGTGGGAGGGGTTCATTGTCAAATTTGACACTTCAAGGAAGGGTTGATGAAAACTGCTGTGTGGTGGTTTATCTATCGATGTTTGCTTTCCTATCGGTTCTTGCATAAGATTTACTGTTTAGCGTATCTTTGCTTTAGTGTGTTACGTTTAATTTGATAGGTAGACGTGTTTGTCGACGGCAACATCAACCGACAACACTGCAAGAAATGGCCGTGGCACTAGGCCTGGCAATCGATCTTGTTTCAAGAATCGATTATTGCGGACCATCAGCCGATCAATAATCGATAATATCGGAAAATTATTTTGACTTACAATTGGTTTGAAAACAATGATAATTTGTACATGAATAATAGATTATATGCGAGTTTATGTTGTGATATCATTCTGTATACATGTAGAATTTTTTTCATTTATTTTACATTTGACAATAAAATAATAGCATTCCATAGCAAAACCAAGGTGTAGAAAGAAACTTGATCAACTTCGTTTGTCGCTTATGACCTGAATAATAATGTGTAAAATGGAGTTATTTCCTCTTCAGACATTTCTTCGCAAATTCCTTGATAAAATAATAAAGGGAAAGTACGTGTTTGACTGAGAGAAATGAAGAGTTAAAATAAGGGGCACAACTGAATGTTAGGTGAAACCATTGGCTCTCATCATGACATAAGCGGCCAACATTTTTCACTGGTGACGTCTCGCGTGAAACAAACAAAACGTGTGTGTTTTATTATGACTATTCTGTTTAATTACAGTTCTAGGCCCAAGCACGCATTTCAAAGAATACAGTGATAAGGATGATTTTTTTGGACTTCTTCTTACAAGTGAGGACCTATAATTGCGCGATTATGGATATTTTAAAACTGTATCGATAATCGATTTTCTGTCAGCCCTATGTGGCACTGCAAGAGAAGTGGGTCAGATTGCCCCAAATCGTGATTGGACTTTTTTTGAAGGGTATATTATTATGAAAAATAAGCACAGCGTTTCACATTTGTACGACTGCTTTTTTTTTCAAATGGAAAAATCTAAAGACATTAGTTTCACACCTTTGTGTAAATGTAGGCTAGCTGATTGAAATTAAATCAGGTTTCTACTATTGGGAAAACCACATTTCTAACATAATAAAGTGTGCCAACTCTTTCCTGAAATATTATTTGATCTACGTCAACTGACATCAAATACATACTTCATAATCTATCATTGTACTAATTATACTACGGAAAATAAGCAAAGTACTTATCGTTTCTGTCAAGTATGACTTGATGAACTTACAGTAAAAGTCAAATAGAACATTCAGTTGTGGTGAGTTGCTCATTAGGATTGAGTGAGTTCAAGTTCATCATATATACATGTCTATGATGAATGGGAATTTCAGAGTTGGATGTTCCAAAGGTTGCCTCTTAATACCATATGTTTTGATGGGTTTTATTTGTGACCAAGTGAATAACCCTGATGACTGCAAAATTTTATATACATGTAGTTCAAAGAGCTAATCATCGTTTGCATTTTTTGATAAATACATGTATCACTAAAATTGATTACCGGTGTTTAACATTTACATGTATAAAAGAGAAAGCAAAATCTCGACGTTAGATAATCTCTTGGCTTGGATTCAATCAAATTAAAGAAAGGGATTCAACAAAACTCATAGGTGGCATTGGTTTTTGTTGACAATATCCTATACATCTATTTGCCGATTGTTGACAAATTTTCAATTCTTCATAAATCTTTGTAAATACTGTTAAGAATAAAACTATCTATTTATGGACTGATATTCCTTTTAGACATTCAACTTTCACAATATTGACTATCAAAGTTTGCAAGGGATTAACAATTGCTCAAATGATGTTCAGAGGCTTTAATAGATCTTTGAAAACAATTAAGTGCCAAGAAAATTTATGACCATAATGTAAATAACCAAAACTTTTGTGACAATTTATTTTTCTAGTTGTAACCTTAAATATTATTTCACAACATTTTGAGTTTACAATAAATAAAGGTAGTGATGACATATATTGACATTAAGCTGAAATATACAGTTTTCTAGCTGAAGCCTCCATAGTTTAATTTTTTTTGTGTATTTAGCTGAAGGATGGTGTAGTTGTGTGCCTACTGTACATGTATTTCTTAATAGGGTACACATCATAGTAACATAATCAAGTTATTAAAGAAGGAAATAATTATTAAGAGAACAGCTAATGATTATTGTAGGGAATAAAGAAAGTGATTCGTAACCATTAGTTTGTGCAGTAACTATCTCTGTTCTTTCATCCGTCTTAATTATTTTATGGATGATTACACGGTAAGGACCACTGAGGATGATTAAAACTGAGTACTCATGGAAGCATTCAAACACTGTTGGTGATCTAGGTTTAAGGTGTGTTAGTTGGGAGATAAATTCGTCTTACTTTCATATTGGATAATTAAAGAGAAATTTACAAACAAAACCCAGGATTATGGGTGTTTGGCTTGCTTGAACTGCATTTTATTAATTGTGATGAGTGGTTTGATATAACTTTCTCTGTCACATTTTGGGACAGATCCAAACTTTGTACTTAAATAGTGTGGTGCTTGTTCCTAAGTTCTCTTAAACGTACCAGTATAAGAGAAGGTTGTGTTTTTTTAGAGCTATGGATACTACTACTAATAACAGTGCTCTTACTGCTAATGATACTGTGAATACTGTATCACAAACTGTATGTAATGGTCAAACCATAGGAAACAATAAAAAAATGTTTAAAGCAAGCTTGGTAAGTTTTTTTTACGAATGTACATGTAATATATCTGATAATGAAACTGGGTAAGTTCTTTATAAATGTAATATACAAATAAATAAAAATGGTTTAGGTCTGTATAAATGTAATATATTGTAATAAAAAAGACTTGGTTTAGTTCTTTATAAATGTAATATATTCTAATAAAAAAAATGGTTAAGGTCTTTATAAATGTAATATATTCTAATAAAAAAAAAATGGGTAGTTCTTTATAAATACTACTACACATATTTAATTTTAAAAAAAGGGTATTTTTTGTATTCATCTCATTTCTAACACATCAGTTTGACAGATTACTGATATTATGTTGAAATTTTAATATTAGTTTAATCTAAAACTTCTATTTACATAAGAAAAATAAATGCATGTTGTATTTCACTCTCCTATGATCCCATGTACATGTAAATATGGTTGTATTTTGCTGTCGCAACCATACATGTACGTCGGTTGGTCTGTCCATCTATTGTCCACAATTTCTTGTGGACGTTCTACAGACTACATTTATTATCTGAGCTTTTTGAAATTTATCTGTGTTGTTTACACAGTGAGATGAAGAATCCTGTTTAATTTCAACCATTTCCGTTAATTACATTGTACTTCTAGAGTTATGATGGACTTGTTTCACTTTGTTGGAACCGTGTGAATGCTCTAACGACTAAGAGTTATCATCTGATCTGTATTAAACATGCATTATGCAAGAGCAAAATCTGCTTATTTCAAGTCTTTCTTTAGGCCTGAAATGTTATCTAAATTATCAATTAGACATTAATTAACTTATCCAGACAATAATAAACTCTCGATGTCAAGGCTAGCCTTCGATGTTGGCTGGATTAGATTCCTATGCCGCTAACGGCTATTGATAATTAAATCAATAAAAGTGGATAATCGAGACTATGCTGTTTATATTAATGATTTTAGTAATGATGACCGAGACTATGCAAAAATTTCACATGCTTCTTTCTCGGCTCATTGTGGATCAATTTGACTGAAATTTTCAGCAATTACACTATCTAGTTTTTAACTATTATAGCGAGAACTGCCATCTCTTTATCTTATCTCCCATAATGTATCTTTAAATATATATGCATTTAAATTATTAAATAGAATTCCAGCAGTTTCTTTTACTTCAAGAGTTATGGCCATTGTTTCACTTTGTTAAACCATGTGAACTCTCTAACTACTAAAGTTATCATCTGATCTGTATAAAAATTATATGGATTATTTATTATTTAGATTTTTAAAACAAAGAAGTCTGGTGAATTTTGGTTAATTGTTTTTGGAGTTATTGCCATTGTTTCACTTTGTTG